ACTTTGGAAGAATCAGGCCGCGCAACCCCCTTTCCACATCCATGATAGCTTGGACTAGAAAGCAAAAGCCAAAGGAGCTCCCAATCCTCCCCTGAGGATTGACCGGACACACATGAGTCATAATCCACACCCGGACTAGAAAAGATCCTCTGCCCAAAGCCACGTAACACATTAAGAAGGCGGGCGAATATTTTCCATGTTGGTTTAAACAGATTCTCCCTAAGCTTCACTCACTCGGGGTTTTGAGCGAGCGGCTCACATGAGTCCCCAGGATGTCACTCGCAGTCGCAAATCCATCAAACTTGGGCGTGGTTTTGTTTGCTCTTTTTTGAGCCCGGACATGGGCTCGGATTCATGTCCGGTCCCAGTTGGGATGGATGGCACGTGAGAGAACACCCCTTTGCAGTGTGGGATTTCGTCCATGGGTTAACCACTCACGAAGTGATGTGACATGGATGCAGTATTAACGTCCACAGTATAAACATTAATCAAACGAATCTCGGGCACCTCCTGTTTGGGTTTCACCCATCTCACTCCCACTGGCGAAGGACCGACCCCGGCAACCCGGAACCCGCAAAACCCGGGTCCTCGCAGCTGCAAATGCTGCAGAGGGCTCGAGGCCGGATCAAAGCCTCGGATAAACGCCAAGGGGGTGGCGGGGGGGCGGGGTTTGGGGGGCGCGGGTGTGACCTAGTCTCACCCGAAAAGGAAGGCATGCAATGGGGGGGAAACTTACGTTGCTAAGAGTTTGCTACTCTCATGACTTTGGTCAACCCCACAAAACCGTTCGATGGTTTGGGGCTGGGTGATTCAACATCTCCAAAAAGGCAGATCCCAGTTGACATCCTAACTCTCAACTAGTCAGTCGGATCCGGTAGCGATTGCACCGAACTCGAAATGGGAGCTGTTCCCGACATGTTCAACACCCGTCGGCCTTTGGCTCCCACAGAATTTATGGCATTTCCTGAGCAAAATAGAGCTGTCAAACCTAAGCTGCCCTCAGATCCGCGGCTAAAAGTTTAACTTTTAGTAAATGGAAACTACCACTAAACACTAAAAGGCTAAAAAGCTAAGGGGATGGTTGGGAGCCACCAAGAAACGGCGATGAATCCGGTAAGGTTTGCTCCTTCCTTCCTCTCGCCGACTTTGGCGTTTGCTTTGCCTAACAACTGGGATTGCAAGAACCTCCATTTGCCTAAGTCCGCTGGAAGAAACGTGAACCTATGCCCAGTTACGCCCAGTTATGGATTCCTGTTCAAACCAACAGGGCAATTTGTGTGAACAAAAAACATAATAAATAATATATATATATATGTATATATTAAAAAAATACACCAGCATAGACCCCAGATAGCACACCACGGATACGAACCATGACGCAGCATTATCATGATGATGTAGACCATGATGACACCACAGCCACGAAACAAACGCGCAGACAACGTCCTAATGAGATCAGCAACATAATGATGATTTTGAGAGCAATGGCAGGAAAAAGCAAAACGAGGTCCTGATGAGTTCGACAGCATCGTGATGATGCGAACAGCATCATGATGATGCGGACAGCATCATGCTGATGGTAAAGGCAGCATCATGATGATACCACAGCCACGAACCATCTTGCGACAGCGTAATGAAATTCTGCATCATCCTGATGTTGACAGCATCACGGCGCCACTACACCCACACACCATGACGTGGGAACATCATGACGATACACCAGCCACGAACCGTTACACGCGAACAGCATCCACCAGCACCCCAAACATTACCCCTAGCACCCGGTACAACCAAAGCAGCATCCACCCGCCTCAAACTGCATGCCCCTTAGCACCCGGCCGTCAAGCTCGCAAAGCAGCATCCACCAGCACCCCAAACTGCATGCCACTAGCACCCGGCCAGCTCGAAAAACAAAACAGCATCCACCAGCACCCCAAACTGCATGCCCCCAGCACCCAGCCGTCAAGCTCGAAAAACAGCATCCACCAGCACCCGAAACTGCATGCCCCCGAGCACCCGGCCGTCAAGCTCGCCGGCCAGCTCGCAAACCAGCAGCCCCCCACCCGGCCGTCAAGCTCGCAAAGCAGCATCTACCAGCACCCCAAACTGCATGCCCCGTAGCACCCGCAAAGCAGCACCCACCAGCACCCCCAACTGCATAGCACCCGGCCGTCAAGCTTGCAAAACAGCATCCACCAGCACCCCAAACTGCATGCCCCCTAGCACCCGGCCGTCAAGCTCGCAAAGCAGCACCTACCAGCACCCCAAACTGCATGCCCCCTAGCACCCGGCCGTCAAGCTCGCAAAGCAGCACCCACCAGCACCCCAAACTGCATGCCCCCTAGCACCCGGCCGTCAAGCTCGCAAAGCAGCATCCACCAGCACCCCAAACTGCATGCCCCCCATGCCCCCTAGCACCCGGCCGTCAAGCTCGCAAAGCAGCATCCACCAGCACCCCACACTGCATGCCCCCTAGCACCCGGCCGTCAAGCTCGCAAAGCAGCACCCACCAGCACCCCAAACTGCATGCCCCCTAGCACCCGGCCGTCAAGCTCGCAAAGCAGCACCCACCAGCACCCCAAACCGCATGCCCCCTAGCACCCGGCCGTCAAGCTCGCAAAGCAGCACCCACCAGCACCCCAAACTGCATGCCACCTAGCAGCCGGCCGTCAAGCTCGCAAAGCAGCATCCACCAGCACCTCAAACTGCATGCCCCCGAGCACCCGGCCGTCAAGCTCGCAAAGCAGCATCCACCAGCACCTCAAACTGCATGCCCCCCAGCACCCGGCCGTCAAGCTCGCAAAGCAGGATCCACCAGCACCTCAAACTGCATGCCCCCTAGCACCCGGCCCTCAATCTCGCAAAGCAGCATCCACCAGCACCTCAAACTGCATGCCCCCTAGCACCCGGCCGTCAAGCTCACAAAGCAGCATCCACCAGCACCTCAAACTGCATGCCCCCTAGCACCCGGCTCTCAATCTCGCAAATAACTTTCCCCTCTTTATTAGAAGTTAGAACCCCTATAGCTTTCAGCTATCTGGGGAAAAAGTCATTTCAGCCAACGGCTGACTTCGTAACTCCTGAACTAAGAAATGGATCTTCGGTGGGGGACGCACCCGGGGATCCCGAAGCTTCGCTCTAGGTCCTTCAGTAGTAGGGGTTAGAAGAAGTTGGTACCAACTTTTTGTTCTAGTCTATTCTTGGCTGGAATTAGGACCCCAGCAAAAAATAAGTCCTTTTTGCCTGGTTAGTGGAAAACAATGGGACCCCAAAAAACTAAAAAAGCAAAAAGGGGAGCTTCTGGGGAAGATGTATTTTGGTCGGTTGGAACCCTCCACCCAAAAAATGGGGAGACCAGGGCACCAATTGCTGGGGGACCTAGTTGTTCGGCCCGACCGGTTCGCCGCCGAGCTGCAGAGCACCAGTCCGCAGCTGGGCACGTCGATGCCCTCCGCCAGCACCGAGGTGGCCACCAGCACCGACACCGCGACCGCGTCCTCGCCGAAGCACCCGGCGCTTTTGGCGGCGGGCGAACAACCGCGGGGGGATTGGCGCTCGGTTCGTGAACGGTGGTTGTCAAGACCGGTTTGGGATCCCATTTTGGTAAGTGCATAGATCTATTTTAGTGGGGATTGGGATGTTCACTGGGGGATAACCGGGCTTTGGACCCATGGCCAAATAGGGTGTCTCAGGTCCTTTGCATGTCCGGCTGTCGTGGGCACGTGAGACACATGGTGCTTTTGCTCCTGGAATTCGGCTGCATGATCGAGCGATGGACACCCGGAGCCAAACCAAAAGCGGCCCAAAAGGTGACGCTACGGAAAAAGGCACATGTTATATGATACCAACCCACCTGCAAGGTCCTCCAGTAGAGAGGTTAGAATAAGGGTACCTTTTTTTCTGTAGTCTATTTAGGGGAACCCTGCCCCAAAGCGGGTAAAAGGGCACCTTGGGGGACCGAGCATCTGTCTTCCTAAGGCAGCCAGCGCCCTCAAAAACGCCGCTCCTGGGCGCCGAACCGCCGCAGGGCCGTCTTCTGCACATTCTGACTCTGCCGAACGCGGTAGCCTTGGGGAACCCCGACTCAGCGACGCCCAACACGCGGGACCCGTGAACTGCTTTCTCCGGACATGCCCTATGTGTAGAATCAAACATGCGTGACCGGGGAAATGGCTCGGCGACCAAACAAGACATGTTAGAAGAAGAAGAAGAATACGGAAGAGGAGGCAGCCAACCTCCGGTTGGTTGCCCGAGAAAAAAAAAAGGATTGCCCCCACGCGTGCGCTTCTGACCAATGCCAAGACCTGGCTCCACTCTGGTTTGCAGCTCTGTGAGGCCAGTTCTTAAGGCAGCCCGAGGCCCAAGGACACCTCAAAGCTCCCAATGCCTCAGCCTTAGCCAACCCAAAACATCCCAACACTGACGTCTTTGACGCTGGTCCCATCTTCAACGGAATCGGCACATCTTGAATTTTCAACAGGCAACCCCCCTGAACAGTGGTCGGACATCAGATATGCATCAATTCCCGGCTTTTCTGATGTCCACCGCAGACCTAAGTGAGCTTGGTTTCCCTGATCTCAGCTTGCGGTCAATCTGACGGCAGTTCCCTGAGGCTCCCGCCGCCGCTCTGCACGTTCGCGCCAACCACAAAGTCCACCGACGGCAACGTGCCCTCCTCCTGCAAGATGCACGCCAGCAGCTGGCACCCCACACGTGTCCTGCAAACAAAGGGCAAGCGGCCGGCTCGCGTTCAGTTCAGTCTGAAGGTTTGCTGGCCAGGAATTCGGGGGCCTTAAGCCGGAGCGCCCCGTGATTCCTGTTCACCTAGACCAAGCAAGCCATAAGTAAAAACTGAGCAGCTCGGGAGCACAGCCAAATCCCGAAGAGAAGCGGGGGACACCCCTCTTTCAACCACCTTCCCTTAATTTTCTCCTGGGTTTTGAGGAGAGGATTTGAATTCACAGAATGGCTGGATACTCTCATGGAGGTTGCTTTGGAGGACAACCCAAAAAAACGACATCCGTTCGTAACGGGGCATCAAGCAAATCCATATGTATGGCTGTTGTTTCGAATCCTATGATTCAAGGGTTAAAAGCCCGAACAAACAAAGCCCCATCACAGGGCAAAGCTTGGGGGAACATCAAACGCCAATCGCAGCCTAGACTGTTTGGGACTGGCATACCTCCAACAAGAATTCTACACGTGTCCAGGATGGAAGTTGTTAAATAGGCCACGATTGGCACATTGTAGCCACGCGCGTCCACCAAGTGTCAGAGCACAACTCAATCTTGCGTTTCGGAGCTGACCTGGAAAAGCGCCCGCGCGCTCGCGCCCTGCCTGGTGAAGACCAAGCATCTTGCATCCGTCTCCACCTCAAAGGCGGACGAATTGACATGTTCGGGGACCGCACCCTGCACCACCCTGCGCTGCACCCTGCGCCCACCCAGCCCGCCCTGCGCCGCTGCCCTGTCAACCCGGTCGGCACCCCGACCTCGCCCGCCACCCCAGCCCTGCGAACCTTTGCCCTGGGCCCAAGCTTGCGGAAAACAGCACCGAGCCCCGAGCCAGGCAGCTATTGACGGCCAAGCGAATGGAGGCAACTGCGACCAGCCACATCCTTCAAAGGGTGTAACGCGACAGGAGGCCGCGAACAGCTCTTCCGCCTCACGGCGGAGACATGAAAGTCGCCAACTCCTGTGGGTCTGTGGAGCCAGGGGTTGGGCGAGAACTGATAGCTGAGACTGCGGGGCGTTGGCATGGCACGGATTCACGTCAACAAGACACAGAGCCTGCAGGAGCGCTTGGCAGGGGGGTCTGGAAGCTTGATTTCGTTGTGAAATTGCCGTGGCTTCGCCTCATCAACAGCACTGCTAACTCGCATCTGATTCTTGTTCGATAGAAATAGTGGGCGTCGTGTGGCTGGTTGCAAGCTCCAGGATATTTGAGGGGGTTCGGAGGTCTGGGCCGTCATTTGAGCGCCTGGGTATCTGGTTGGCCCGAAAATATCTGCACAACATGCCCGGAATGAAAGGTTGCTTGGGCTCCACGACGTAAAAACAAATCAGCGTCACTCGTTGGCCGAATTCGACCCAAGGCGGGCCCAAGGCCGTTTGACACGCTGCGCGCAGGTCTCGGGAGCAGTTGGGCACAGATACCAGCGGCGTTTAAGTGCGCAGGGGCGTGCTCTTTTGTGGCATCTTTTGTCTGCAGCGCAGCAGTGAAGCCACTGCCTCCTCCCTGCACCCTGCCCCCCCTCTGCGCCCCATCTGCGCCACAAGCTGCTCCCCACCCTCTGCCCAACCCTGCGCCCACTGCACGCCACCCAGCACCTCATCCCATCCCATCCCACCCGACCCATCCCGACCCCCCACCACCCCACCCGTCCAACCCAACCCGACCCATCCCGCCCATCCCACCCCTCCCAGCCCCGCCCCGCCTGAAACCGCTCCTTCAGCTTGGCGATGGCCGCATGCACCTTGGCCGAGTGGCCCACCGGCGCGTGCTCGGCCTCCCACCGCCTCGGGCTTCGCGGCGGAAGGTGGATGCGCTCGCTCCCCCCACACCAATCTTCGATCAACCGAGAAAAAAAAAGCCGCAGAAAAACCGACTAGCCGCAGAAAAACCGATATTTTCAAATGACCAGGCGCCGCTCATGCTGAATACATGACATCTCCACTCGTTTCAGCAAACCGTTTCTTGCAAATTCCCGGGAACTGGAGCTACCAGCTCGAAGCGCACAATTTCTGCACCCCTTCAAACATGGGCACCTGGGAACAATGCAGCACTCGTAACGAGCAAGAACCCACCAAGCGCCTGCGTTGCCGCACGCACCATGATTGAAGTTAGGCCCTGTCACGATGCGTGGATGTATGCATTGCATATCAAAAATATTATACATAATATTAATGTACATTTTCTACTGGTAGAAGTATTGCTTGCATCATTGCTTTGTCACCTGAAAAATCATTCTTATCTGTATCCTAACTCTACCCCAGATCAAACTTGTGGCTCGACAGGGCCCAGACAGCCTTCCTTTCTTTGAAAGTCAAGGGTCCAATTCCTATGTCTGGTGTCCTTCTGCTTTTTGTGACGCCAAAATGGTGCATCCCTTTGGGTTGGTGTATAAAGACCATGTTTAAGAAATGCCCCTTTTCCGTGTTTGCCTTTTTTAAAACACGCCAACCCACAGGGGGGGGGGACCCTTTTGGCGTCAACTGAGATGCGACCTCGCGGGCTTAATTTTTCCTTGGTTGTTTGCTTGGCGTTGAAGGGAAATTCGAAGACAGACCCACCTTTGGGTGCGACGGTTCTTTGAAGGAACCCCTTTTTGGTTGGTTTTGAAAGGAAACCAAAAGGAAACCAACATTTTGCTGGGGGTCCCCTGAAAAAAGACTCAGCCATGTTTTGTGAGCTTCCAAACAAGGAAAGGTCGGCCGGCGTTTTTGGTCTCCCACGAGCCCAAGACGGAAAACCCCCTCAGCTCGACACCACAAATTGCCGTCGGGGCACTGCAGCCTTTGCTTCAAGCGCTGCTTCGCCTCGATCTCCTCCTGCATACACGGTGTAGGCAGATGGCCCGAGCACCATGCGGACAAAAACAGGCGGATGATATGATTGAACCAACATGGCCATGGGTCAAAATCCAAATCGTACCCCAAGTGAACATCCCAATCTCCACTAAAATACCCTAAAATGGGTGACCCCAAATGGTACCATTGGTTTTGACCCCCAGCCACATGGAGGGAACAACGTGCCATCTGTCATTATGTATATATATATATATATATAGCAATTCTATGCCCCTCCCTCCCCCCCAGACCGCATGAAATGTAAGTCTGAAAACATTAGACATGATGAATCCCCCTTGGGGCCCTTCATGGACGAGCTCGCTTTACCCCGCCCCCCCCCCACCCCAAACGAGCTCCCAAGATTAAAATTGGGCCCTGTCAAGAACTTCGAAGCCACCTCACTTCAGCGGATTGGCCAAAAAGCGTGACCCAACTTCTTTGCGACCAAAGGTCCAAACCCAACCAACGAAAGTCGATTTCAGGGCCGGCCTGCCCACAAGGGGTGAGTCCATCAGATTGCCCCTGCCCCCTTGGGGATCTTGGGGTGGTTTGGAGCCGAACCGCCGGTCCGGGGTGGATTCAACCATTTACCCCTCCACAAGAGGCCAAGGGACCTGATCCCCACTCGCCCACTCGCTTCAGGCCTTGCCATCTATGCCGGCGCGCGGGAAGGCGACCTGCGCCATCGCGTCTTCCGACGCGAGGGATCTATGGGAGGCCGACACGCAGGGTAAAGGCGCAGGTCAACAACTCTGCCAGGAGCACGGATGCTGAAACAGATGTGCTGGTCGCTGCTTTTTGTTTGTCCTTGTCTTTTCTCACCTGCCTCAAAAATGGATGCTGCTCTACGGGGAATTCCCCTGGAAAGAAGATCGGCTTGTGAGTTGCCCGGGAGCCAGCTGAGAAAACCCTACGCAAGTTGGGATCTGCGATCGGCCCTTCCGATCCATGACGGCGCGCAGGGTGCACGCATGAGAAAAAAGAAAAACATGGATCTAGGGCCACGGGTCAGGTGACCGCCGACCGCGGAACCCACGTCTTGCCATCTTCAAGGAATTTCTGAACTTCAAAAGGGCCCAGAAGAGAATTGGCCCAAGAATAGCTAGGTCCTCCAGTAGAGAGGTTAGAATAAGGGTACCCTTTTTTCTGTTGTCTATTTTTGTACGGGAACCCTTCCCCCAAAAAGGGTAAAAGGGCACTACTGCAAAACCTAGATAGCAAACAAAAAGGAATTGCAGCACGAGGGGGGTCAGGTTCACTTTTGTGGAGAAACACGCACGACACGCAGCGGGGCTAGCCACCGAGCACTGGCCTTCTCCGTAAAGATGTCGTCCTCGCTGTCTTGGCTGTCCTTGCGGCACGCTGCGCAAAAAAATCGCCGACGCTTCGCATGTTGCTTCCAGCGACCACCTGCATCGGAACAATTGCAGTCATGTTACGTCAACTCACCGCTAAGAAGAACACATCTTACAGTTATCGTTTGACATAACTGCTGGCTTTTCAGCAATCACGTTATTCTCAAGTGATTTTCATCTTGTTCTAGCTTTTTTTACCACTGGCAAAAAGCAGGCACCCCGAGGCAAAATGTGGCACAACGCCCTTGCAAGGCAACAACACGCATGGGAGAGCGAAGGCCGAGCATATTGCAAACGCTTGTGAAAACCCCTTCGAGGAAGACACGTTGGGCTCATGTCTTGCGGGCCGTTTGGACAAGAAGCGTCTGCCGCCCCATTCTGGGCGAGTACAAGGACTAGGTCCTCCAATAGAGAGGTTAGATTAAGAGAATCCTTTTTTCTGCAGTCTATTTGGTAGTGGAACCCTCCCCCAAAAAAAGGATAAACGGGCACTACTGGGGGACCTGGAGGAGCTACCGAATCCCATGCCGTCAAATGGGAACCCAGCAAAGAGCGAACCCGAGCCCAGGTGTGAACGGACGCAAATCGACGGCTCCCACCTCCTCCAAGAGCCTGGACCTCGAAAGAAAACTCCACGGAAGCCAACAAATCTGGGCCTTTGTTGTTGGGTGGTTGTTTAAAAGGATAAAAGTTGCAGTGGTTTGTTCCTTCCTCCTTTTCCTCTTCTTTTTTTGGGGTTTGGGCTTTGGGGGGGGGGGGATGGGAATTGGGGGAGCAAAAAGTTGGGGTCCCGGATGGTGCTGTTCTTGTCTTTGGGCCCCCTTTCCGGGCGGCCGATTTTTCCGGCGAAGAAATCAAAGTCCGAGGGCGACAAGCTGGCGGACTCACAGCCGAAATGGGACAAGCAAAGGCTGAGCCTGGCGAACTGAATTCTGGAGAGCTGAACTGAGGTCAGCTTGCGAATGGCGGGGAAAGCAAAAACACAGGTTTCTCTTGGATGCGATTCAATGTGATCGCCCTTGGGGCTTGGACTTGCCCCGATTTGAGTCCAAGCTTCACGTCGTCATGACGTGTCAACCACGCAGCTTGGGCTTGGCTGTGTTTGTGTGCGTGTTCGGTCTGCATTCACTCTCCCCAGTTTCGAGAGGGCCCGACTCAAAGCGTGACTGCTGGCCTCTCTACAAATCTCCGTTGCACTGAACACGAAAATATGGGTGTCTTTTTTCTGGGGGACCCCCCAAAAGGGTGGTAATCCGTCCGGCTTGCATTTCAAGCCGCAAAAAATGGTGCCCTCAAAAAATCAAGAGACCCAGATGAAACGGGAGGCTGCTTCAAATCTTGCATCCTCGATCGACCCCTTCTTGGGCCCCCTACAACCCATCGCCGGGTCCACCTGGCCATGTGACTCCGACAAAACGCTCCGATGAAGGCCATGAAGTCATCGAATTGGACCACATGACTGTGGGTCAAAAATAGGTGCCCAAAATGGAACCCTGGTAAATGGAGCCAAGGACTAAAACCTGCGGTTCCCTGGTTTAATTTTGACCCATACCCACATCTCCAACTTCTGGTCTTAAGAGTTGGGAGACTGGCAACCACTGAAGGGGTCTCCGGGAATTATTTTAGCCAAAAAATAGTAATTGAATTGCAAAGGAGAATTGCAATCGAGGTCAGGTGGATTTCCATTTTGCACCTCTAGATTGCAACAGCTTTGAGCTGGGCTTTCATTTAGCAATTTCAATTAGTGACGGCAGCAACGGTCAATGCTGAATGGCATTGCTCCTGCAACAATGATGGACCTCCTTCACTGAGCGCGTTTGCTATTTTTTGCTCATTTGTGCTAATTTTTGATAATCTTGGCCAGCGCTTGGCGAACGCATTTGCAAAAAATTGCAATATTTAGCAACCCTCTCGTGGTTTTGGCCGCCTGGAAGCTCATTTTGCGAGAGGGTTGCTATTGTTTGCTAATTTTTACTATTGTTTACTAATTTTTGCTAATTTTTGCAATTTTTAACCAGGGCTTGGCGAACGCATTTGCAAAAAATAGCAATATTTAGCAACCCTCTCGTGGTTTTGGCCCGCTGGAAGCTCATATTGTGAGAGGGTTGCTAAGTTTTGCTATTTGTTTTACTAATGTTTGCTAATTTTTGCAAACCTTAACCAGGGCTTGGCAAACGCATTTGCAAAAAAATGCAATATTTAGCAACCCTCTCGTGGTTTTGGCCCGCTGGAAGCTCATTTTGCGAGAGGGTTGCTAATTTTTGCTATTTTTCTACTAATGTTTACTAATGTTTGCTAAGTTTTGCAAATCTTAACCAGGGCTTGGCGAACACATTTGCAAAAAATTGCAATATTTAGCAACCCTCTCGTGGTTTTGGCCGCCTGGAAGCTCATTTTGCGAGAGGGTTGCTATTTTTTGCTAATGTTTACTAATGTTTACTAACTTTTGCTAATTTTTGCGAATCTCGGCCAGCGCTTGGCGAACGCATTTGCAAAAAAAAATAGTTCCAGTGCAATTCAAATTTGCGAATTGTGTTGCTATTTTTTGCTAAATAATTATTCTACTGTTTCCAGAGGTTCCCTGCAATCCAAACTCTTAATTCTGGTCTTATCCAAGGTCCAAAGCCTGAGGTTCTCCGAATGAGCGTCAAACCAAGCAAACCACTCGCCAAGTCTCCCCATGTTGACCTGTGATTTACAGCATGTTCAGCACATGAGACACTAAGACTAAGAGATCCAATGAGCATGCCCAGCATGAAGTTAAAACCCGGCGGGGGCACCCGCCGTCTGCTCCTGGGCCGCGAACTTCCACAGAAAAAAAAAAACCGAGGTCTCCCCGTGGGTTGTGGTGTTTGGTGTGATTGAAGTGCTTGATTTTGCCAATTGCTTGCTTGAGGAAACTGTGGGCATGCTCCCATTTTCCAAGAAGCAAATTGGAGATGTTTCGCTGAGTTGATCTCTGAATCTCTGGACGGCACACTGAGGTTGATTCCCAGTCGATTCTGTTCACCCATGGTTCGGCAAGGGGTTTCATGATTGATCCATGGTTGCCTTTTGTTGCAGCAATATTGATTCAGAATTGATCAAAAACCCTCGAGGCGTGTCGCCAACCTGCAGAGCCGGCCAGAACCACTCTCTTACACACAACCTGCCGAGCTCCCACTTCCCCAAGTCCTTCCTAGAGGTCTATGTGCTATCTGGTTTTTACGCGCCAATCCCGGAGCCCCCACACCCCCGGGTTCTTCTTATCTGGGTTTTCAAGCGGAGCGCCTTTAACTGATCTCCATTCGATGGAGACTCCTTGAAACAGACAGTCTTGCAGGCGCGCGCCCCCTGGGAAGCCTGTTCCGGCCGCACTGCGCCAGGAGATCCCTGCGGCACTCAACAGAACCTTTAGGGGGGGGCATCTCTGGATAAGCAGGATAACATCCACCAAAGACTTCGCCTTCCAAGAAAAGGACCCACCCCAAATGGGCGTACTCAGACCCACCTAAACGCCGGCTGCCACACGTCCACCTCCCCCCCCATCCCCGCCCGCCTCGGGCTCCGCTTCCGCTTCCGCGCTTCGGCAGAGCGCCTCCAAGCCGCGCAGCGCCGCCCAGGCGCCCAGGTCCCGCGCCAGCACCTGGCGCCAGTGCGCCGGGATGCCGCCGAAAACGGCATCTCTTTTTGGCTGGTGGAAATGTGGTGGTCAAAAATGGGGTATCCCCGGAAGGGGTTGCCCTGATGGAAACCCAGGACTAATTTTCTGGGGGTTTCGGGTAGTTTAAAAATTTGACCCACACCCATGTGCGAAGACGCCTGGGGAACATGTCCAGCTGGATAGATTTCGAAAGGTGCCCCTTGTGCACTTTAGGAGAAGCCTTGCAGACTTTCCGGAAGGTTTTACACCTCGCTGATGCTCAGTGGGGAGTGACCTTCCGGGTGTTGGGAATGAACTGGAACAACAATAATTCCCGAATAAGGGAAACTATGGGAGAAGGGGCCGTTCCCTCATTCCCGGCTGAGAACCAGCAAGTGGCAAAAAAAAATATCGAGCTCGTGACATAAAAAGACCTGCGCGCAAGGGCGCTCCGCAGACTTTCATGGAACTCAGGGCTCGTCGTCTTTGCGTGGGTAACCCGGTTTTTGGAGTGGATTTTTAAGGGGAGGATGGGGAGGCCACAAGGAAAACAGGGCGTCCCTTAAACAACCACTGACGGTACTTGGGCCTCATGCTTCCAGTGGAAGCTTCTCAGGCCGCTCCCCCAAAACAGCTGGCGCGAGTTCCATCAATTGAGCACACCGGGGCCCCAGGAACTTGGCCCCGGAGGCGGAGTGGGCGAAATCACTCTCGTGCGATGTCGCCAACTTGCATTCTGTGCCCGGATTCTTCAAGAGCCAAGTAAGTCAACCAACATGAATGCCATGTTCCTCGAAGATGTTGAGTCCGATTGTGCAAATATTAAATGCGCACATGTGTCCTGCTGAAAAAACGGAGATTCATCGCACCAAAAACGTCGGGACGATTCAAGGATGCGCTGGCCCCCAGGCCGCGGCTCCTCACCCAAGTCCCGGGTGGAAAGGCACTAGGGTTGTTGTGGTTGATCTAAAATTCAATGATGATATTTGTTTATCGACCTCAACATCCCCCCTCCGCGCGCGGAGGAAAACAACAACGCGCGAAAACATGGCGGCTATCTTTTGGCCTGGTGGAAAAGGCGCTGTTTTAGTGGCAATTGTATCTTTGAGGAGGTCTGATCATCTGTTTTGACCGGGGGCAGCCCGCCTGCATGCTCCTCAAAGCTCTGTTCCACTGCAACTGATGCTTCCTGGGCTGCAACAGGAAGCAGAGTCTTATCCAGTAGCATCTCAATGGTTTTGTGCCAGCCCCCCCCCCCCCCCCCCGCCATGGCTGCCAGGATAGGGCAGAAGGCCTGGTTTTTTCATGCTGCTGTTTTCCAGCAACAGTACCCAACAAGGTGGTTTTCTTCTTCCCTTTACAACCGCCAAACAGGGGTACCCTCCAAAGAAGCCACACCCGTGTGGCTTGCACCAAAGGCTGTCCGGCCGCGCGACCAGGGCAAAAAGACTGTCAAAATCATTGATGTCCTCTGCATCGAAGTCTTTTCATCGAGCCCCCAAATGTGCCTCGCCACGTCAACTTTGCAGCACCGAACCAGACAACGACGCCGATATGCTCTGCTTGTCAGCCCACAAAGAGAAAACAGGGCTCCAAAGGGCCTTATGAGATTCTACGCCTTGGTGGAACTTCATGGTCTAGGTCCTCCAGCAGAGAGGTTAGCATAAGGGTACCTTTGTTTTTTGGTAGTCTATTTTGGTAGGGGAACCCTCCCCCAACAAAGGCTCAGTCGCCCAAAGGACCCAGAAATAAAAGGTTCACCTTTTGGGGCCTTTACTAAAAATAGACCAAAATCGGAAAGCCAAAAGGTTAAAAGGTCGATTCGCTTTGGGCAACTGAGAAGGGGAAAAGGGCTCGGGGACCTAGCTGTTCGATTCCTTCCTACCGTCCCCACTCGCTCCCGTCCTCACGTCCGCTGCTTCCGATGCCAGCGCCGACCTGAACAGGACCCAAAGCTCGTGTCCAGGCATGCGGAAAGTGCGGCAATGATCAAATCCCAAATGGCCATGGGGCAAAATCCAAATCGTACCCCCAGTGAACATCCCAATCCCCACTAAAATAGAATAAAATGGGTGGTGCACCTACCCCAAAATGGTACCATTGGTTTTGACCCACAGCCAAATTGCGATGCTTTCAAAACCGGATAATGACAATCAGCCTCCCAGGACAAGACCTTCATCACAGGTGATTTGAGCACTGCTCAGCTTGTGACTTGGCCGCCTCCCCTCTGGCTTCCATTTGGGTGGCCTTGCGGAAATCAACCGCCCTTGGGTCTCTTGTGGGTGTGTCTTTCTTTCAGGCCATCCTTTTGGGTTGGTTTAAAGAGAAACCCAAACTGGGCTGTCAGATCCCCTGCTCAAAAAAAAGCTTAACTTTTCGTGGACACTACACCAAACCAACCAACTGCCACTAAAAACCTTTGAAAAAAAAACGGGAACCGCCAAGTTTGAAGGGAAACCAGAAGGAAACCAACACTTTTCCAAGTCCCCCGACAGTTTGAGACAGACCCCCGGGTCTACCACTCAGTTGTTTAGTGACCCCGGAAAAAAAAGGAACCCTTTCTGGGGAAGAAAGGGTGCCACTCAACAACTGAGACCAAGCGGAAGCACCGTTTTTGCGAGCGGCTCCAGCATCTTCACCAGCTCCTCCACGTGCGGCTCGGGATCAGAATCGAAGAGCCTGGCAGTCGCTCGCCCGTTTTATTTTTCGGAACCCAGTTGGGTGGCGCGTCCTTTTGTTGACGGACCAAATAAATAAAAGGTGTTTTTTTCCGTGTGTTGTCGCTATGAAACAAATTAGTTTTTTTGCGGACCCCCCCCCAAAAAAAAAGAGAAAAAATGAAAAAAATGCGAGTGTCTGTGTGTATTTCCCTCTTAAACAAAAACACACCAAAAAAGGGCACCCTCAAAAAAGAAACAGACTCCATTTGGGTGCCCGCGTTTTCTGGAGGCTGCCTGGAAATCCAAAACAAAGTCACCATGAAAATGCCAGGCTGGGGTAGAAGTAGGCACCTCTTGGGTGGGTAGGTAAAGGGGATGATGAAACCAACATGGGGGGTTCTTTACAACCCTTGCCGTGGCATCCTACTAAAGATGAACAGAAACAAAAAAACCTAACAACCTAAACAAAAACAAATCATGCCAACAACAGTGAAGGCTTGCGCCATCTACTTTCGCCCCCACGGTACCCTGCAGCCCGCCCATCATGGAACCCAGGTATCTTTTCCCAGAAATGGATGGATTGCAGGCCCGCGGGCCTGCAAAAATTGCCTTCCCAACAGCCACATGCTTCGTGATCCCCAACATCCTCCAGCCCTCGTTTCTTGGAACGCATGTTCCTTCCAAGGCCAGGTGGCTGCCATCTTGGGAAACCCGGAGTCAAAGGGGCTTCGTGAGTGAATCGAATGAGCTATGATCCGCTGACAAACCTACCCTCCCTCCCACTAACATGGCAACTGACAGGGGCTCCCTTCGAAAGGGAATGAATCTTCCAGGTACCTTTTCACAGGTGCCTGGAAAAAGTGGGAGGAAGGGTAAGGGTCCCTTTTTGGGCTGTTTGGGGCTGTGGGGAAGTCAAACTGTAAAGTGCCAACCCTTTCGGGGCTCGGAGACGTCCGAGACTGGGCCGACTGGGTCAGTGGACTCAAAGCAGCACGGCCCTGGCCAACTGGAACCGAACCTCAGGGGCTTGGTGCCTGACGAGTGGAGCCCCGCCGAAAAGGCCGAGAAGGGCTTGGTGATCAGACGGTCAAATGTCTGGTCCTGGGTGCTTTTTTGGCTCTTGTTTCCTCGGGAACCCTCTTTTGGCTTGGTAAAGAAAGGACAATTCAAGGGAAACCAACCATTGTGCAGTCCCGTTTTGAGGCAAACCCACATTCGTCGCCAGTAACATTCTTGGAGGAGGCTCCAGTTTCCGAATTCCAACCAACCAACCGACCGACCAACAGACCAACCAACCAGCTCCAGTTTCGAAGATCCACACATCGACAAAAACGAAGAAAAGACAACAACGGAGAAAGGAAAAGAACGAAAAACAAATGAGGAAACAAAAAGAAGAAAAATAAAAATAAAAATGAGGAAACAAAAACAATGAAGAAAAAGAAAAAGATGAAAAGCAAAACACAATCCCGGCCTCTCTTCCACCAGGGTCGCTGCCATGGCCGCCTCCGTCAGCCCCAGCTCCGTCCAGGTGCGGCAGTCCGCCTCCACCCGAACCCCGCAAAAAACTCAAGACTCCGCGCGTTTCCGCCAATTTTGCCGTGGTCAACACCGTGTTGGAAAAGGATTTCCCATTTGGGGGTAGGCGAATTCACCACCCATGTCAGTCTACTTTTTAGTGGCCATGTTGGTTGCCAGCTGAATTCCCCACCCCGTTTCATGGGCTTGATTCTAGTGGTTGGATTGGCGATTCTTCACTGGGGGTGCGGACCTTTGGATTTGGACCCAGGGCCAAATTTTGGTGGGCGCCCGAAATGGCGGACCCGAAATGGTGGACTTCACCCTCTTCTTTTTGGAGGGGGGTCCGATTCCTAACAGGGCGCAACTGTTTTCCTGGCTTAAAAACACCCAAGTGGGTTTTAATGAGGGAAAACCGAAATGGTGGACATCATTCAAAACTCATGGAGAATCGAACTAAAATTCCCCAGCCCGCGGCATTGAAGGACCTATGAGCCCCTCTATTGGGTCGTCCTTCGTCCAGACATGTCCAGACCTGCTCTTGAAGGGATGTCAGGTGCTGTGGAGGAGCCAGGTTGTGCATTTCTTCCAACACTGGGTTGTAAGCTAACTACGGCGCACGCACATTTACACCCCGTCAAAAAAAACAAGGTCAATTTCCACTTTCGACTACCTCCGGAGCCGCCCGCAAGAAAAAGCGGGCCGAGGCGGATATGCGGTCGGAAGCCGCGTAGTCCCATTTCATCCCCTTGCTTGAGATGTGCTGGCCGGGCCGGTCAGCTCCAGCATAACTTACCAGCTGACCCATTGGACTTGTGTTTTATGTGGGCTTGATCAAAGGGCGAACCCCATCTCATGCCCCTTTAGTGCTTCAGACTTTTGTCATGGCAGAACCTTCAAAAGTCCACCAACCTGGTGGTTTCTTGTGGGGAAGTTTGGAGCAACGTCTCACCGGGTTGCCAGCAAAAGGCTTGGATTAGTAGAAATATGGTCCATGCAGAGGGAAACCAAAGAAAACCTGGGCCGGCCGTTTTCTGATCCCCCCTTGCCAAAGTGAATAGCTTTGAGTGGGTTAAATTCGGAAACCGCACCACGCAACCAACTAAAAACCCTTGACCAAGGTTCAATAACATGCACCCAATAAGTGAAGAACTAATCGTTGGAAAGGCCTCGCAGTGGTCGTGGGGTTGGGCATCGGAAGGAACAGCTCGCAGTCATTTTGCCACTCCGAATCGCTAAAGTTCATCAGCTAGGGCTTTTATTGCTGAGAGATGTCAAAAAAATGTTTATTTACAGATGTCTTTAAAACAAAAAAAAACATACTTTTGTTAGTTTGGGGAGGGGACTCCCGATCTTGATCTACCTGCAAGCCCTAAGAACCTGGCTCCTCTGGGCCGTGCCACCCAGTCAGCTTTAGAGGAAAGGGAGAACCGGGACCCATGTCCTTTGCGGGGGGTAATGCTGTTATTGTCTCTTGTATTAGAAGGGATTTAAGCAAATGAATAGAGGTCAATTAATGCTACCGTTCGTGGGAATCCGGATCACTTTTGTTGACAGGTAAGCCTGAAATACTGTGGGTGGACGACATCCACTTCGCACCACGAAGTGAAACCATGGTTGAAGCCATTGTTCGTTGGTATCTACAGGGGAGTCATTTGGTGGTGCGAAATGGATTTCGTCCATCCACAGTATCACACCCGAGCCACCCTGACAAAAAGATTCGGACCCCTCTGACGGGCCGGGCGCTCTTTGTGGTTTCGGAGCCCACCAAAATCTGAAGAGGAGTTGTAGGGCGGAAACCACTGAACAACAGGATATGGGTACGCTTTTTGGAGGCTCGGTACCCTCTGGAGGCTGGTTTGAAGGGAAACAAATGGAGAAGCCGAAGCCATTTTGGAGGAACTGATATGAGTTGATCTTCAAATTCGTTTCTTTTCTAGGTCCTCCAGTAAAGAGGAACAAGGGTACCCTTTTTTCTGCAGTCTATTTTAGTAGGGGAAACCTTCCAACCAAACAAGGGGCGAGAAAGGGCACTGGGGGTCACCTTTCATGGGCAAAAAAAAATGGGTGATGCTTAAAACCACCTCACCCGGGAAATGTAGGGACCCCAAAAGGGGTCTCCGTCAAAAAAACGACACACCCGACGCAAGACGACTTAAAACCATCGCCTTGTTCTCCAAGTCCTCCAGCTCCTGGCGCATGTCCTGCGACCGGAACCCGGAGGCTTTTTGGTGAGAAATCCACCCGGACAAACGGGTGGATGACGGGTTTGGAGGCTCGTTTTTGGCACATAAAACGGGGGTGAACGGTACAAACATGGTGAACGATCAATCAAAACCTGGTACAAAAATGGTGAGCCCAGAGCCATGCTTCAAGAAGCAGAAAGGCGGCCGCATTTCTATTTCCGGCTGGGACTGCCCCTTACTAACCATCATTTACCCAGGTTTTGATTGTGGCTCAGGTTTGTGTGCGTTTTTGTGGAATTCACTGGTTCCTTCCCCCTTTGGTCCTTTTTAGTCATCTGCCAGTACTCTTTTCTCAAGGGGCAACTCCACAGATTCGCCACATCCAAACCGCTATCTAGAGATTTTGCGACCCTGTCTCTGATTTTTCAAACATCCCTTCTATGCGAAGAACAGTGACTGACCAAAAACTCGGTCGCTCCCAGTCGCTGGGTGGCTCATTTCTATTTGGAGGCTCTGTGCCCCGTTTTTTTGGGAAAGGGACACCAAAAGGAAAACCCGAAAGCGCCATTCTCGGGGTCCGTTTCCGAAGATTCCTGAAAAAAACAAACATCCCCCCACTTTCTCCGACCGCCAGAAGCCGGCTCCGGTGGTTTTTTCTTTGGCATCACAGACTTTGGAATCACGCCTGGGGGGTCCCGGTGTATCTTGAGATTGTTGCATTCATGCCTGCTTTTTTCTTTTGAAGTCACGCTTGAAAGCTCCGGTGGTTGCGTTTGACACCCCGGCGTGAATTCAAAAGAAAAAAACACCCCGGCCCACAGGCATGAAAGCAACAAAAGCAAGAACCAGGACCCCGCGTGATTTCAACAAAAAAAGGACACCGGGACACCCCCCCCCCCAGGCGTGATTTCAAACCAAAACAAAAACCGCCGCAACTCCCCAGGCGTGATGAACAAAACCACGGGCGCGTGGTGTTGTTTTTCTTTGGACTCACGCGTCGCTCACTCACTTGCTTGCTTGCTTCGTCTGTTGACAAAAACACCAAAATGAGAATCCAAAATGAGGAATCTCAAAATACACACGGCTGGCGTAAATTCAATATCATCAAAACAAAAAAACATAAACCCAGGTGCCCCCAGCAGCCCCAGCACGCCCTGCGCTCCGGAACCCTCCCTCAGACCCCAGAGCCTATTTGGGCCTATCGACCCCATAGCTTTCAGCTGTTGGGAAAGACGGCTGTTCAACCCCCGAAAACACAAACTTCTTGCACTCTTCCGATTTCTGCGTGTCATCCTTTCAAAAAAAAAAAAAAGAGGCAAACATCCTAAACAAACTCCCAAAACCACCAAAACAAAAAGCGCCCCCGAGCCAAGAACAAAAAGCGCCCCCGAGCCAAAGCCCCCCCTCCAAAAGTGGCGCCGTTTCTCAGCCACCGCGAATGAGTCGCCCAACCCTTCGGCCGAAAAAGACTTCGACGCCCGCGTGCGAACGCGGCTCTCTCGATCTCGCCTGGACGCCGGCGGGCTCCCAAGTCTTGGCCCCTTTCCGGCGCCCGGAGAGGGGCGAGGCCGTGAGCGCCAGCACCTGGCGGTGCTGACCTGTCCCCGGCAAGCTTGCCCAAACGTGCGAGCAAAAGCCAGAAGCCACCGCGGCTTTTAAGGGGACACCGGGGCCTGATAGGTGTGGTTTTGGCCGAGAATCGATGGGTTTGCCTGGTAAATTGGCATGAAACCCCCTCTAAACCAGTGGAACCCATCTATCCCTAAGCAAACTATCCGATCAACAGGACACCAATGCCCGGGTCCCAAGAAGAAACTGCAGGGAGGTGGAGAGAAACCAGGTTCCCTTGTGGGGAAAGAGGAGAATCAAGGAACAAACTGAAGGGAACGAAAGGTGAATGCTTGGAAAGAGTGGTCGCTTGGCAGCTGAAGGCTTAGGCCATGTACCATCCCAGTGCTGGAGGAGAGAAAGTTGAGAATTGGTGTATGGAGGTCTATATCAGGACATGAAGGTGCCAGCAAAAATCGGCGGGCTCCGACCTAGTGCCCTTTTTTGGACTCTGCTCACACATATTTCAGCGAGCACCGGAAGAAAAACAGCCAGTCATTGAGGAGGGTCAATTGGTTCGACACATCGGGTGAACAAGCGATGTGTCCAAACAGCAATTTCACTGATGCAACCGCTGGATTATGTTGCTTGTCGGGTTCAGACCACCAGTTCATGAATGGGAATTGCGTTCACGGGTGTGTCTCCACACACCATCATGGATGCTTGTGTGTGTGCATGTGGCTGGATCCTACTGGTTCCCTCAATTACGAAATACTCCAATAGAAGGCGTGGTGTGCGTAGCAACCGAAAGTTGCATATTTCTGAGGTTCTGGGGCCATCAAATGGGCAAAAGAAGTTGAAAAATCACCAGAGTCTATTGTTTGTGACTCACAGCCTTACCAACTTACGCCCTACTCGCCCTCTCAAAATACCCCCATGAAACCAACCCACGTTGAGAACATCCAAATCCTGCACCACTTTGCAAGCGGTTGTCCCATGTCTATCCCACAATTCTCAGTTGGGCTTCTCATGGTTCATCCATCACTGCTGCAATGTCTGGATTTCGCAACCATCCACAGTATCAATATCAAACACCTGGATCGCCAGTTGCTGTTCTTTTCCATGAACTTTACACCAAAAACCAACAACAGTGACTGAAAAAAGCGATCGCAACTCGCTATCTAGGCATCGACTTCCTCCAAACTTGGCCGGCGGGCCCTTGGCCGCGACTCAGGCGAAACCACGCCTCAGGGGTGCCCCGCTGCCCCCCTCCCTCCGGGTCGGGCGTCTGGATCTGTCCACCTCCTGGAATCTAGCATCCAGCAAACCAAACTTGCTGGTGCCACACGCAGGGAATGAGAATTGGACTTTTTTACCGTTTTGGGGTTCCCTTCAAGGAAGCCAAATCGGGGAGGTTTTTTTTTAAAGGGGTCATTCCAATTCTCATTCCCTACCTATCGCTCCAGCGATATTCCACCTGAGCAAGAACCTCGGCCCTGGGATCGTCAACTTGCAGCCAATTGGCTGCTCAAGAAACCGGAATTCCAAAATGGGCTGCCCGATCGGTCAGTGGAATGGACCCACCCCTGCGGCTTTTTTTGGCCCTCCTGCCGGATTGGGGGGCAATTCCCCAATTCCCCAGGTTCGGGAGCTGAGGCCTGGACTGTAGAACCGCTTCATGAGGATGGCGTACTCCTCGACCGGAGCTCCGCGGCAGGGCAAAACATCGGTTTCCCTTGCACCACCAAAGACACGAAAAATGAACTGGGTCCTCCAGTAGAGAGGTTAGAAGAAGGGTACCCTTTTTCTGTGGTCTATTTTAGCAGGGGAACCCTCCCCCAAAAAAAAGGTAAAGGGGCACTACTACTACTGGGGAACCTAGTGAACATAGGCGGGCAAATGCTTCGATTCAAATGCTTTTGCAACAGAGGTCAACCGTCATCCATCGGCCCGAGTTCGATGATCGAGGTACGAGAATGGTGTGAATTCGTCTCCCCGAAAAAATGGGGCACGCTTGGTTTCGAAGATGGTTTCCCCTAAGGGTTTCGCTTAAGGGTTTCCGTTTCGATTAAGGGTCGCAAAACTGTTTGGTCCAACAATGCCAAAATGGGATTCGAAGCCCCGTTTCATCCTTTCGGTGGGAATTTGCAGCGCAACCTTTCAAGGGAAACTGTGGCCATTTTGGGACAAATGGACCGAGTCCCATTCTAAGAAGAGAACAAAACAAAGAACGGGCCCCCCCCCCTTTCCCACCCCCCCACCCCCCGGTGAGGAAAAACCGCCCAAAAAATTGGATAACAACACCGCGGGGTCGTCTCAAGAGTCTTTTGGTTCACGACCCCCCGCCCCCTCCACCCCCCATCCCCCCACCCGCCGATTTTGAGGAAGAGCCGGAGCCGCCCCAAAAAAAACGAAATAAAAATACCGTGGGGTCGTCTCAAGAGTAGTTTGGTTCACTAGCACCTCCAGTAGAGAGGTTAAATAAGGGTACCAACTTTTTTCTGTAGTCTATTTTTGTAGGAGAACCCTCCCCCAAAAAAGGGGTGAGAAGGGGCACTACTGGGGGACCGGACCCCCCGACTTCCGGGAAGCCTTTCTGAACTGAGGCCTCTCACCGCCGCGCCCTTCAGCTGGTGCGCCTGAACTGAGGCGAAAAAACTCCGCGGGGGTTCCTTCCATTTGCGTCGCGAAGCGGTTTCCCCCCCCCCCCCGCAAAAATGAGAAAATATGTCCAGTAGCGAAATGTGATTCCCTTTAAAACCAACAAAGGAAAGCCAAGAAAATATTTGCTGAAAATAGATAGCACAGTTCTGCCATGAGGCTCTGAATCTTCATGAGGAATACCCTCCCAAATTGCCCGCCAAAATGATGTCTACCAAATGGCCCCTCATTGAAATTCACACCCATTTGAATTAGTCAAGGCCTTTGCTTACTCACAACGGCACTGGCAATCCACTTTCAGTGATTCTAGGGGAACTGTATCCATTCACCGTTTGTCGATCATCTTTTGACCACTGTGCTACCTTCTACATCCCACCGGGGGGGGGGAGATGACCCCATTCGCACAGGGGGGGCCGGGTGTGTGTGTGTGTGCGGGAACGATGGACCCCCGACACATCCACAGGAGGGCGGGGGCTTGTACCGTCACTCTGTGCTACCTTCTTGACTGAGCATGACCATTGGGGGGGGGGCAAGGAAGCCTGGATCATATATACTCCCAAAATGTATCACTGCCCTGAGCAACGTGTGAGGTGAACATGACTTGCAACAAGCAGTGCCTGATATCTACAGATTAGAGCTGCTGTTCACTGACGTTGCCTCATCAGACTCTGCTAGATTGGGATTTAGTACACCCAAAAGAAAAGAGCACAACGAGCCCAACCAGTGCATCGCGGTGTTTGTTTGTTGTTGCTTTTTTTTATGGGACCCTCATCCCTCTCAAACAACCCCTTGAAGTTGTTCCTAACACACACTCACTTTGGTGCCAGCTGGACCCGCGGATTAGAACCTGTGGCCCGCCCTCGGACCCAGGCGTTCCCCCCGTTTTCAAAGCACCGGCCTCGTCCAAAACGAGGAGCTGGATCTCGGTCATCGAAACCCGTGCATGTACCTGGGCGCTCATCTGGCTGTGGCTCGAAACCGTTTTGGGATCCCGTTTTGGGGTAGGTGCACCACCCTTTTTTAGTGGGGGATTGGGATGTTCACTGGGGGTACAGGCTTTTGACCCATGGCCATCTGGACAAACTATACTTGGTTTCAGTAACGACCCTCTGCAAGTGAATAGCTTGCCTTGCTGGTGCGATAAGCAAGGAATGAGACATGGAATGAGCCCAGGAGGCCCAGGGATTCCCGAACAAAGGGAATCAAAAGGGATGGTTTCTGGGGGTCATTCGAATTCTCATTCCCTGCTTGTCGCCTGCAAGTTTTTGTGGGACCAATGGAACATCCACAAGGTTTCAACCCAAAAGTTAAAGTCCAAAGATCCGTTGCCAAATCGCCATAAGTATAATTCACAAATTGTGTGTGTGTCTGTATTCTTGAGGGTGCTCTTTTCGCCTTAATTTTCAGAGGGAAACCAAAAGAAACATTAACCATCTGTGCCCCACTATTTTGACACATTTGGAAAGAAGGAACGCGGAAGCCAAGGACCTTGAACTCAGGCGAGCTCGTCTTACCATGTGAGCTCGTTATATGATGTGCCCCTATATAATCGTCATTGACCGCTCGTATGAACCCTTGTGCTTGAAACTTTTGCCATGTCAAGCTTACGCCCTGCAAAATCGGAAGTCTGCAGTTTCGGGCCGCTGTCCATATGAATGTACCCAACATGGAGCTCCGGTAAATGGAAGCAGCTCTGGTGCCATGGGCGCCGTGTTTTCACCGAAGCCACCCCCCACGCTTTTGGGGGGGGGGGCCCAAATGGCCACAGCCCGGCAGAACTGCACTGGGCGCTAACTCCCCTCACAGGAACCCGACAAAAAGTGGCCCGGCCCAACAAGAGGCTCCTCTGCACATGGTGCAAAGCGAACTTTGGATCTCCGGACCACGTTGGGTCCCAAATGGAGGTGTGCTTTTCAACCGCTTGCGGGGGGATTTTTTCGTGTTTTCCGCATACAAACTTAACAGGGATCCTTACATTATACACCTGAACATTGCAACTTGCAAATGGCGGTTTCCCTTTTTTTCGGTGTTGAACAATTGCCACATGTTTCAACTGGTTGCAAAAGCTGTAGATCTGTTAAGGAGCCCATACAAACTTAACTGGACCCAAGAGCCGCCCAACAGCCCATAGCCACCCCGGACCCGGACAATCGATGCTCAGCATAGCTCAGCTCAGGGGCCAGGGACTCCACCAGCAGCGCTGGGGTCATGACCTCAGGGCCACCAATCGAAGCGCTGCGTTCGGTCCACCCATGCTCCCCCCCCGAGAGAAAACCGCAGACACCGCCTTCGAGAGGAAAAAAAAACTCGGCCCACGCCCGGGAACCCAAAAATCTTGGGGCCATGCGAGTTAAAGACAATCTGTGGCCGAAACCTGGGGTCATGCAAATTCCCTCTTCTCCTTCAACACTTCTGGCACGATGAAGGCTGATTTTTTCAGAAGGCATAGAAGAAACTGCGCAGAGCAGCTCTGCTCCGGCATGCACTAGAAAGCACGGCTCTTGGCTTCCCAAAAAAAATCATAGAATCTTCAAATGTGCACGATCATCAGGGCTTCGACTATTAAAAACCCCCAAAAAAATGGAATGGAAGCTGTGCAGATCAGCTCTTCTCCTCAGCCATGCACTCGCAAAAAGAACGCCTCTTTGGCTTCCATCTTCAATTGCGCTCGCATCTTCCAGATCTTCATCAGTCGCCACCACTTGCTCCGAAATCCGATCAGAACTGAATAAGTTTGCCTTTGGTCTCCTCCAGTTTCTTTGCAGCACCAATGGCATAGATGCCACCCTTGATGATACCATTGCGGGTATCAGTTTGCCTTTGGTCTCCTTCTACTAGCTGCAAAGGCTCGAACGGGGCTCTTGGCTACTCCAAGACCGCAGTTCAACATGGTTCAAGGGGGTTCACTAGCAATAATTATTTTGCCCAGGGCCTGGCACCGCCAGCCGGGTTCCCGGCAAGGACAGAACACCTCCGCCAGGCATTCCGTGCGTTCAGGCCTCAGCAGTGCTCTGACCATAGGTGTCCCTTTAGGGGAATAGATGGGTTTCCCTGGTAGATGAGAAAAAAACCACCAGGTAAACCAGGAATCGCCATCTACTTTTCTGGCAAAACAACCAAAAAGGACGCCTATGGCTCCGACACGCGAATGTTGCAACCGCGCTGTGGGCGTCTTCTTTGGAGTTGGTCTGGTCCAGAAAGATCTTTGTTTGTGCCACAATCTGAAATTCAAACCATTCTAGTCCGATTGAATTTTGTACCGTAATTCCAAATATGGAAACAATGGAGTTGGTCTTCATGTCTTTTCCGTTTGTGTCTTTTGAAGGACTCCAGAAACGCTCGCCACCCATGCTGCCCCTTTCCGCGTTTGTTTCAAAGCGAAACTAGAGGAGCATCACTCATGCGGGCTCTGTTTTGAGACAAACCCAGGTGAAGACGATTTGTAAAGGATCATCAAAACCGGAAAAAAAATGAAGCAAGGACTAATAGCCTAAACGTTACAACCCTTGCTATGGTAGCCAGAAGAAAGCCTGGTTTGTTTGCAGCCCCACTAAACATGAACAGAACCGGGGGAGAAGAAAAAAACACGAAAAGAAACCTATACACATGCCGACGACAGTGAAGGGAAGCCAAGAACTTCGGTGCGCGAGATGTTCCGCTCCTCTTCTTGCCTCCCCAAGCAGCTTGGGACATTTCGCGCAGGGGAAGCCTTTCGCTGGCTTTAGGATCTCGGAAGAAATGTTCACACCCTCCGAACGGGGGGAAACCATCGAATGGTTTTCAGGCCCCAAAAGTTTTTCAGGTTGGTCCCAATGGTCGTATACAGCCGCAAAAAAAAAAAGCAGGTTCCTCGGAAAACCCAAAGGACCGCCGGGGCTGGCGCGCGTGGGCCCCGCAGGTCCTGCCGAGAGCGGGTCTGGGCGGGGCTCGGGACCTCTGAGCCCAAGGAAGGCCTTTTTGGAACAAAATCCACGGGGGTGAAACCCTGGGAAATGGATGGCATGAACCCCATCTAAACCAGAACCCTCTACTCGTTTAAAGCAAACCAAGAAGGACACCTATGGCTGCTGCACCATTCCATAGCTTCGGCGCCTGGTTTTTCCAACCCCGAGGCCCATGGCCTTTGAAGCGGCTCCTCCTTGCGAGCCGCGCACCACGCCCAGCCGCGCATCTGGCGAGCCGCGCGGGAGTTGGCGAGCCGCGCGCCGATGTGGCGATGAACTTTCGCAGGGAACCTTCGAAGTGGTTGCCTGACCTACCCTCCCACCAATTCACATGGAACCTACCAAAGGGTCCTGGTTTGGACCATTCTCCTGTTAAAGGGACTGGGTCCTGAATTTCGCGTTCCATGTCAATTGGCGAGAGGATAGATCCCCGCGAATATGATGTCATACCCGTGGCCTGAGTCACAAGCGGGGAACCGTTTTTGCAATAGGTCTTGAAGGGGACCGGCTGACCGGAATGCGGTCCTTCGGGATAAATAGATCCGAAGTGAAGCCAGTTCGGTTCCGTCGACTTACCAACTGAAACCATGGGTTTCTCAAAATAGAGCATCCCATGGTTGCTTTCCCCTTGGCCTTTGGTTTCCTTTCAGCTATTGAGAAGAAAAAGAACTGGCAGCGCGATGCAGGCAGCTTGAAACCACAGGGGTTCTCAACTATACATGATATATTTGTACATGTATACATATAGACAGATAGATAGATAGGATAGGATAGGATAGGATAGGATAGGATAGGATAGGATAGGATAGGATAGGATAGGATAGGATAGGATAGGATAGGATAGGATAGGATAGGATAGGATAGGATAGGATAGGATAGGATAGGATAGGATAGGATAGGATAGGATAGGTAGATAAGATAAGATAAGATAAGATAAGACAAGACAAGACAAGACAAGACAAGACAAGACAAGACAAAACAAGACAAGACAAGACAAGACAAGACAAGACAAGACAAGATAAGATAAGATAAGATAAGATAAGATAAATAGATAAATTAGATTAGATTAGATTAGATTAGATTAGATTAGATTAGATTAGATTAGATTAGATTAGATTAGATAGATAGAGTAGATTAGATTAGATTAGATTAGATTAGATTAGATTAGATTAGATTAGATTACATTACAGATAGATAGATAGATATAGATATAGATATAGATATAGATAGATATAGATATAGATATAGATATAGATATAGATATAGATATAGATATAGATAGATAGATAGATAGATAGATAGATAGATAGATAGATAGATAGATAGATAGATAGATAGATAGATAGATAGATAGATAGATAGATAGATAGATAGATAGATAGATAGATAGATAGATAGATAGATAGATAGATAGATAGATAGATAGATAGATAGATAGATAGATAGATAGATAGATAGATAGATAGATAGATAGATAGATAGATAGATAGATAGATATACACATGCCTCTCTCCATATATAATATACATAGGGGGAAAAATATATTTATCAATATATGGAGAGAAGAACCCAACAGAACAAAGGTAGATCTTTGTCGCCGCCATCCCGAGCGGCCCCAACACACGACGGTCGCCTGCCTTCCGAGTCCTCATCCACGTCCTCGCGTGGGCTCAGGGCTCGGGGCGGAAGCCGGGGCGGCCTTTGATCTGGACGCGTTCCGCCGCAGGCGGCCCTCCGGTCAGTTCTGTGGTGGGTAGTGTAAATAGCCCGAGGGGTTGATTCCTTTTCCATTCTTTTCAACCGTCGTTCTTTTCGCAAACCAGCTGTTTCCCCTGAGTGCTTGATGGTTTGCTGAAAAGAAGGATCCCTGGAAAGAATGGAAATGGAAGGTACCGATAGAATAGCGGTAGATAGCCCATGACTTTGGCTTTCAATTAGCTTTGGAGGTGAGCAGCACCCGATGTTTCCATGTTCCGAGATTTGCACCTGGAGCAAACGAGGACGGGAATCACTCGCACGGCTCAAAGCGCGCACATGGCCGCGTCGCCTTTTGAGACTGGGAGGCTCTGAACAAAAATTGAGTAACTGTAGTTGGGTATGACTTTCTTTAGCGGACCTCCGAAATTGCTGGTTCTCCTTTTGTCCTTCAAAACCACCAAAAAAAGATGTTCCTCAAAAAAAAAACACCAAGTACAGAAAGAGGTACCCACACCAAAAAAAAGACTCAATAGAAAGGCCCCGCCAGGCTCCGCAAGCCCCACACCTTCCCGCCTCCTCTGAAGCCATGTCCAGGCCGCAGCTCGCCGCGAGCACCGCGCCCTGGCGGTGCAAAGCTTCAAAGGCCGCGCCGGAGTTGGTCCATCCCACTCGGATTTGGATTTGGTCGATCCCGGTTTCGGAGTTGGACTTCTTTCGCCCTCGTTCTTTTTTCTTCTTCGAATTTTGCAGGACCTTTGTCCAAAGGCAAAGGGTTTTGGGGCTCGGCTCTTTGGAAAAAAGTCCCGATTTGTTTGGTGTTCCCGCCGAGCCTGGTGTTGCTTGGTCAAAAAAAGAGTTTGGGACCCTCCAAATCGGTGCCTGTCGGCCACCCGTTTTCACATATGCCCTACACCTCTCCCCCAAGAAAAGGGTTTCTTATATTTTTTCTTATTTTCAACCCAAAAACGCGGTCAAGGCGCCGAAGCCATCCAAGCGGCGAAGCGCCGAACTTAGATGCGTTGCGAGTCCGTCAGCTCGTCACTTGGGGCCCGGGGGTTTGGAGATTCAGCGGTCTGCCAAAAAAAATCCCCGAGGAGGAGAGTTCTAACGCTGACAGATGAATAAACAGGCCCTGCTTACCCTTTTTTGGGGGGTGTCCCTGGTTTTGGAGATTCATCGCTTTTGGAGGGGAGCATGCCCCCTATTAGTAAACTGGGGTGTATCAATGTGGGGTCAACATTTCATGTTGATCCCAAAATTCCGCCATGGGTGGTTGCCCACCGGCTTCCCGCTCAGGAGAACCAAGATCTGCGGTCCGAAATTTGTCCAAGAGTGCCACGGGTGTATTTCCCCATGGGTGAACCGCCAGAAAATCTAAGTTCAAGCATGGTTCTTAGTTTTCTGAGGGACTTCCGAGGTCTTTTTCCCAGTCTCTCAACCCCGAGGGCTTCCATGTTCTCTTTGTCCAATGAGGCACCCTCACTCCCACTAACCTGGCACCTTAAAGAGGCTCCGTACAAGAGGAAAATGGAACCTCCCGCTACCTTTTCACAGATGCCTCCAGTAGACGTTAGAATGAGGGTACCCTTTTTTCTGTCGTCTATTTTAGCAGGTTGGAACCCTCCCCCCCGAAAAAAAGGGTGAGAAAGGGCACCTAGCTGGGGGACCTAGATAATCAACACCCGGTACAAAGATCGTCTGCCCAGAACCATGTAAAACATTAAGAAGGCCGGCGAAGGTACCCATTTCTGGCTTCAGGGGAGTCTCCCTAACCTCGCTTCTGTTTCTTGAAGGGGTCGTCTAAACAGAACCCAGGCCAGGCGCAGGAGCCGCAGCCCAAGCCCTGTGACGCCTGCTGTTCTGCCAGCAGCCCAGTAGGCGTCAGGAGCACACACCACCTCAGCCCCGTTTTGCTGAGCTTGGCGCCGGCATGTGGCTACCCAAATGGAACCCTGGTACATGGAACCAAAGACTAAAACCTGCGGTCCCCTGGTGGCTTAGTTTTGACCCACACCCATGTCATGCTTTTTAAGGGTACCCGTTTTTGTTGGGTTGTTTTTCAAAGGGGAACAAACACATGTTGAGGGTAAACTATTTTGGACACATACCCGTACGCAACCAAACTTTGACCAATTTCGACACATATTCGCGTAGGCTGGGTATGTCAGAATAGAGGGACAACCAAAGCAAAATGCTGGCTCTCCAGTTGGTTTGCCCTTCAAACAACTGACAAGGTCCCTCAAAAACACACACACACACACACACACACACACAGACACACAGACACACAGACACACAGACACACAGACACACAGACACGCACACACACAAATGTATGTGGGGTGGTTGCCACAACTCAGGGTGCGGGGTGATTGTCTGCCGCCTTTTCTGGGGGTCTGCCGTATCCCATCTTGTTAACCCTATGGGCGCGTGTCTGTATGTGTGTGGGTACTCAAATTCAGCCGCACGTCTTTGCCCAACGGACGTCCGCAAAACCCTAACAATAACTCCAAAACCTGACAAATACCGGGGATCCATCTTGCCACAAGTTTGTCATCCAGATTGAAATCTGAATGGGAATTTCGCAACATCTGCAAAACCCCAACCATCATGCTCGTTGTGCCTATCGGTCGCTCTTTCGAGGGTTACCTCATTTGGGGTGTCTTATTCTTAGGCATCGGACCCCCAACATGGCTTAACCGTTGTCCTTTGTTTGGCTTCCCCGAAAAAGAAAAAAGTACCAACTCAAAACAAGACGAGCCAGCCGCGGACTCCAACCTTGACGAACGGCTTGCGCCCGACCCGGAGCGAGCTTTTTGGTTCCAAAAGGCACCCTTTCAGGCTCCAGGAGGAAGAAAGGAATTAACATAAAATAATACCCTCCCACCAACTAGCATGCAAGTGCAAAAAGGCGCTTTCCAAAAGGAAAGTAGTCTTTCTACAGGGGTCTGTGCACTTCCATGTTAGCTGGTGGTTATATATGGCTCTGGTCGGCGAGCGGCCACCCCCCCCCGCAATGGTATCCCCCCCCGCAATGGTATCCCCCCCCACTTGGGGGGGGGGGTGGCCGCTCGCGGGGAGAGGCCTTTTGCAAGATGACCATAACCTGCAAACCCAGCGGGCCCACAGGGGGAGGAGGAGGTGGGGCCCTATTTAAGGCTACCATGACCATGGCGGGGCAGGGGGGGGTGCCAGACCTCTACTATACAAATATATTATATATATATATATTCAAAAACAAGCACACATATCTTTCAGCTTCCCCCCTAGTTGGTTCTGCCTCCTTCAAAGTATTTGGAATTTAGACCCTCGTGGTTCCCGCCTGTTGTAAAGCACCATAGGCCAAAACCGCGCGGCTCATCTGAGGATACGGCTTTCTCCTGTCGGCTTCTCCTGTCTCATCCGATTGCCACAAAGCTATGGGGGAGAAAAACAACACCCAAAGGCCCCTAGGAAAGGGTCGGACGACAATTTCTGGGCTCTTTGGGTGAGACTTTCTTTCTGGCAAACAAGGATTGGGAGTCGGGACCCACCGTTGGGGTTGCAACGGCACACCACGAAAAGGAACACCAACATGGGCGTCCAAATCCCGCTTTTGACACCAGTTTGAAGGCATGTGCCCTCCCGATGAACCACCTGCCAAAGTGGCCATTCTGGGTTCTGGGCGCTGCTCATATGAGTACCCTTTGGTGGGCATCATTCAGGGTGCTTCGCGACAGTCACTTTTGAGCTGGTATCCTACTAAAGTTCATCAGTCATATGGGTGTCTTTTTTGCGGGGTACCCCTGAATTGGTGATTCTCCTTTTCCTTTAAACCGCCTTCAAAAAGAGACACACCCATATGGGACCTCATGCTTTCCAAACGCTGGCCTTCAGTACTTCTCTGCGCGAGGTAGTAGTCCAACCTCGCTTGAAGCAGCCCCCAAAACCCCTCTCCAAGCAAAGAAGAACAGCTTGCTTGATGGTCAGTGCAAATATCAAAGCAAAATGCCCGTCGATGTAGATGCCAACATCCCTAGAATATGTTGCTTCGAAGTGAGGAATTTCAGTCGGAGTCGATTCGTCCGAGTCCCCGGTCCCACCCTGTCTGTTGGGCAACCCGCGTCAGGGATCCACCCGGCACAAGGAACTTCAGTCAGGACCAACCCGAAAACGGGACCAGTTCAAACAGGCACCTGGCGCTTTTCCCCGGAGGGGAGGGCTAAATCGGAAATATAATTCTGCCGCTTTGGCCGTGAAGATAACAAGTGAAAGGGGCCTCCCTTTTACTAAGGAGAGCAATTCCAGGAAATATCGCCTTCGTGCCAGAACTCAAATCCAATCGCATGGCATCAGGCACAGGCCCTGCGGGCAAGGAACAAGGAAGTGGAGGGAATGGGGTGTTCCCTTGATTTCCCTTGAACCATCCCCAAACTGGGTTGCCAACTCCAAAACCCCAAGCCAGCTCTTCCCAAAAACCAAAAAGCAACACATGAATTGTCCCCCATGTTCATTCATCTTGCCCATTCTCCCTGTTGCCCACCCACAACACCTCGCCGTCCCTTTTGGACGCCTCTCCTGGAGCCCCTTTCCGCCATCGCCATCCGGTGTCCGCAGCTGAGCCCCGGGCAGCTCCGAGGCGATGCGCGTCTTGCCGCTGTTGGTGGGCAACACCACCAGCAGATTCTCCCCTGCGGAAATAAATCGCTCGTTGGTCGTTGAGACGCGTACGTTTGCTCGCGGGCTGAGACGAGAAAGACTCGGAGCCCTTCAAGGTCCCCGTAGGTTTTTTGTTGGGTCGGGGCGAAGAGCATGAACAAAAAGTGAGTGAATGAGGGGGGAGAGGGTAGGATTCTCTGTTCAAATCACTGGTTTTCAACCAGATATTCACTAATTCTAATATTCCAGGAATCTGCATCACAAACCCGGCAAAACCCCTCTGTTCAAACCACCGGCTTCAACCAGATGCTCACGAATCCTAAGATCTCAGGGCCAAGAGGGGACATCCCCGTCCAGAATCTGGTCCTGAGATCCAGTTTCTTGGCAGAATTCAGTCTTCAAGTTGGACAACCTCTCAGACATATGGCCTGTAAAGGCAAACCAACAGGACCATTTCACAATGCAGGCCGAATGTGAGTTTGGTCCCCCCCCCCCAGGGTTCCAATTTTTGACTACCCCAGGGTAGATTTAAATTTAGGGGTGGCTCCTTCCCCGCAAAAGGAGAATCCCTGGGTTTCAGTCTATCTTGGGGTAGTCCCTTCCAATTGGTGGTTTGGATTGGCGGTTGGGTGGTTAAGGAGGGGGTTCCCCATCTACCCTCTTTCTTGAACCAGGGACCCGTCCCAATCCGAATCCAACCCACTGATCCAAACCGCCAAAGGGTTACCTGAAAGCATGGCAACCCCCCCTCGAGCCCTGGTTTGTCCCCGTTTGTCCCAAAGAGGCTAGATGCGGCAACCCCTCTAGGTCCTCCCGTAGCGAGGTTAGAATAATGGTACCCTCTTTTTCAGTAGTCTATTTTAGTAGGTTGGAACCCTCCCAACCAAAAAAAAATGGTGATTAAAAGGGCACCTAGCTGGGGGACCTAGTTTTACATGATGGCCTTTTCAAAGATATTACCCTCGCTCCCACGTTGCCATGGCAACTGAGAGGGGGTCCCACAAAAGGAAACTCATCTTCCAGGTACCTCTGGGGCTGGAGGAAGGGTAACCAAAAACAAACCGCCAAGATGGCGGACCTAGCCCTCCTTCACCACCAAGCCCCCGAACTCCAGATGGGGAAACCCCTCCTTAGCCACCAAACCACAAACGCTCCAAACCGCCCAACACCAGACTCCCCCAGCCTTTGGCGGCCTCCACGCACCTCCGCTGGTACCTCAGACGCCGGACGCTTCCGTGGCGAAAGGGAAAGGTCGCTTGGCTTCCGTTCGCTTCACGCGAAGACGTCCCACCGGGGGAGAAAAAAACGAGAGAGTACTGTGGATGGGCGAAATCCATGTCACACCGAATTGAAAACCATGGTTGAAACCAAAACATTGGTTGGTATTTACAGGGGAATCGAATCATTCCAGTGGGTTTCTTAGGTGGTGCGAAGTGGATTTCGTCCATCCACAGATGTCCAGCTCACTTCCTGAGTGGATTGGCCTAAAGAAGTAGCCAAACTGTTTGTTGACCACTAAAATGGGCGTCCCAAAAAGTGACCGAAGCCATGAACTCAGGAAGAGAGGTAGTGAAATCGATTCCCTGGAAAAACCTGCAGGGGAAAACACATAGTATTCTTAAGCGCATGGAAGGGTCAGAAGGGACAAAGGTTCCATTCGTCCGCTTGGAGTGAAATCATCTTGACCCTTTGGTCACCGTTTGCAGGTCCCATGTCATAGCCATGAGGAATGAGGCACGAGGCTCGTTCAAGGCCGCGGCTCGCGCAGCGGGGGGTTCGGCTTCATGTCAGCCGGAGTGAACCAGAGACGCGTACGTGGGGCGGCCAAGGAAGACTCGCTTCAAACAACGGGTCTCGTTGTTTGAAGTCTAAAAACTCGCTTGGCGAATCTAAGGCCCAAACGTCTAAAGTCCAGGAGCCCAGGAACTCGGGGGGCGAGTTGTGTGCGAAACTATGTGCCGACCCTATATGAAACCAATGTTGATTGAATAACCTGCTGTTGGCTTCCTTTGCATAAACATAGGGGGCCTTCCTGGGGGTAATGCGAAATCGGTCAAGTATAGAGTGCCCCTCTCACAGGGCAACGGCTTGAGCAAAACTCGGGGAAGACGACGCGGCAACTTTCACTTCACCTCGGTGCCCCTCTGACAAACATACTCCCAGCCCCTCGCCTCAGCAACCTCACCATGGAAGCATGAAACCCGGCCGGCGCCTTTCTCAGGTGTTGACTCGGAACCCGCCACGGGCAGCCTTTTTCTGTTTTTTACGGCTTGCTGTTGTTCCCCTTCCCTCTTTGCCCTAAATGGATGAAACCTGCTTTCAAGACTGGGCTGTTCGAAATGGAGTGTTGGCCAATCCGAATCCATGTTTTGCTTCTTCTTTTTTTGCGTAAGCAAGGTAAGCATCTTGCGGATTGCCTTTGAACAGCCCAAGGGGTTTACCCAAAAAGTGCCTGGGACTTTGGGTCAACCACAACTCAGAAGCAAAGAACAAATCCACGGAGCCCATGAATGGCTCAATCCCAGCGGCAAGAACCAATGACTCGCTGGTTCTCAGCGAAATGGAGTGACTATAAACCATCCCCTATGGGTGTTCTTTGAGGGAATCCCAGGAGGTTCCTGCACCAACTGACCAAGTATCAACCCATCAACCCCCCCCCCCCGCCATATCATATCAGACTGGTGTGTCTGACTCTAAGGAGAGTTTGTCTCCTCTTGTATCTACCCTCCGGACGGTCGCGTCAGGATGCCGCATAACACATGGAGTGCACGGCCGGTCAGTCAGATCTGGAGGTTGCTCAAAAAAAGACACTCCTTCTTGGCTGGTGGTTACAGGAAACCAGCCATTTGTTTGTTCCTTGCTTTAAACGGGAGGCTATGTTCAGTAAAAGAGATGGGTTTCCCTGGGTTCATGGGGCAATAAAACCCATCTAACCCGGTGGAATCCATCCATTTCTGTCCCCAAACCAACCTCGAAAGGACATCCTACTGTGGGAGGGCAAAACCCTGCACCACTTGAAGCCACAAAACGTTGAGTGGTTGGTATTCTGAGAGGGAATCATCATTCGTTGTGGTTTTTGTAGGTGGTGCGGGATATGGATTTCGCAACCATCCCACAGTATGGCGATTTTCCTGCTGGGTTCTTCCCACATCCGGGCAACGCGGGCTCGCCAAGCCATGGCCTTGCTCAAAGACCCCATCTCCGCCCATTTGGAAGTGGAACCTCGCAAACGGGGCCGGCGGAAGGTCCCCCCAAAAACTTGGCAGACACCGGGAAAGGGACACCGGGAAAGGGACACCCCGGTAAGGGAAACCAAAGGAAAGGCCATAGGGATCCATAGGGAGTTCCTCGGTGCGGCAAGTAAGGGAAACGAGGTGCAGTACAGGCGTGCCCTTGAACTATTTAAAGAGCCAACCATGTGCTTTGATTCTGACCATAACTACATAGGCTCCTAGCACTTAGTGTTTGTCCAGACACTGCCTTCCTTCGCGTGATGGTTGTTGCACAACTGTAAAACGGTGAATATTGACGGTTGTTCTCGCACAAATCCCGGGTGCGGGTGCAAACCCTGACCCCATGCCACTCAGAATGGACATCGGTAGGAAATCCAAAGGAGGTCGCTGGAGGTAGAATCTCCACTACCCTTGAAATGAAAAAACCAACATGAAAACCGTACCCTTCACAAAATGGCCCCTGAGCTCCGCACTGCTGTCCCCCACCGCCACCGAACTGCTGGAAAATCTCCTGAGGCTATGGATGGCGGCCCTGTCTTTTTGTGGAGTTGGTAACCGTCTTGCGGGGTTGATCCTAATGTTGACCCCATATGGGTATGGGTCAATGTTAAATCACCACTGCAGGTTTTAGTTGTTGGTTCCATTTACCAGGGCTCCATTTTGGGTACCTGTTTTTGACCCACAGCCATATTCATCAACCAACCAGTTTATTCATAGGGGTTATGAATACAGGGTCAACATTGCCATTTGAGAGGGTGTTCGTAATCAAAACTCACTTCCTGAGTTGATGGGCCAAAACAGGTCCAAACTTGTTGTAAGCCACTAAAATGGTCTTCCCAAAAAGCTTAAAGTCCATGAACTCAGGAAGTGAGTAAAACTTGAAGATTTGGCCCATCCTCTGGCAGCATTGATCAGCCCCTGCGGCCTTTGAAACACGTCCCGCACGAGAGGCAAGTGAGCCCACTGCACCACTCAGCGGGGTTGTAAACCAAAAGCATGCCAAACCAAGAAATCAAGCAAACAACAAACAAACAAACCAACCAAACAAACAAACCAAACAAAAAACAAAACAAAAACAAAACAAAACAAAAAACCTAACCATACCAGACCAAACCAACCCAAAACAAAACAAACAGACCAAGCCAAACCGCAACAAAAGAAAACAATCCAAACCAAATCGAAACAAACCAAACCAAAGCAAAACAAAACAACTCACAAAAGAAACACAACACCTCCCTCTGCGCCCCTCCTCGATGAAGGACGCAGCTAGTCTGGGAGATCCAAGCAGTGTGAGGGCGAGCACCTGAGCTATGGGGCTGGGAGGGACACCACAAGGAAAACTCCTTCTTGGTGGTTTTAAAGGGAAACCACGATAAGAAAGGAAAGGAAAGGCAAGGACAACAACACCCGCATAGGTTGTGAGGGACTTTAGAATCAAATTCAGACATCACAAGATAAGTGTGTAATTCGCCGGCCCCTTTTTGCTCACGTGTCTCCAAATGCGATGGGTGCCAACCTTCCTGTTGCTTTCCCTTCGGCCCCCCCCGAAAAAAAGAAGAGAAGAAAACTACATACGCACATATGTATTTGTGTATATAGATATACTGAGTGATTTAGGGGCGTAGACCTGCCAAGACTTCCAGCTGTGAGCATGTTTGTCATTTGCATGCCCATGGCATCGCGGAGACGCGCGTGGCTCGGAAGGCTCCGGCTGAAGGTCAACTGGGCGCCAGACTTTGAGAGTCGCACACCGCAATTTGGAAGCTCGGGTCTGAGCAGTCTTCCGCGGAAAGGAGGCTGCGGCTATTGGCCGTCATTGCCTGTGCCCGTGGCGTCTGACAGGGCTGAGCTGCATTGAGATCAGCGCTTGCCCGCCTGTGCGAGAGTCCGCAGGCAAGGTTTGCTGAAAGCATTCCAATGACCCAGCAGAAGGTAGTGGAGCTGCAAGCGATGACCGATCGAAAACGGGTGATTGTGGATTCCTCGCAAACCCTTGACGACCCCTCACCAATACATACATACAAATATGATTATACATATATATATATATATATATTGTACACATTTATATATGCATACAATGACCACTGTCCACTGGACAACGGCCACTTCTCGCGCGGCAACAGAAAAAAACGCGCGCTGCAAGTGACCAGCCTTCGGACTCTGAGACCCCGGGCCCATGCCCCGGCCCCACGCCTCGCCTCAAGCTCAAGCTTCCAAGCCCCACTTCGGGCGAAAGGAAAAAAGAAAAAAGGCGCCCAAGTTGGAAGCTTTGGTTTTGTCAGGGGCCCACTTGGCGCGTTTGGTTGGGAATAGAGGTTTTTCTCTTGTCAAGGGCTCCTTGGGTCAGCTAACTTGGCGCGATAGGTGGGGAATAGTCTTGTTTTGTAAGGGGTCTCTGGGGTCAGTTCACTTGGCGCGTTTGGTAGGGAATGGTTCTTGTTTTGTCAAGGGGCCAATTCACTTGTTGCGAATTCGGATTGACCTTTGCAGTCCGGGTGTTGGGATACCCTGAGCACCAGCAAGATAAGCCCCGGCGATGCCGCGGAACTTTCCGGATCCAAGAAAAAGAGTACCTAAAAGAGTGCTAAGAAAGGACCAGCATGGGGAAGAAGAGGTGAAATCTACACAAAGTGCGAACCCAAACCGTTTTCTAGATGGCCAAACCAAAGAACCCGCAAACAGCCACGTGCTGCAAGACAAAAACAACAGATGGCCGAAATGGAAAACGGCGAATCGGTCTGGCATTGCCAGTACCATTTAGTTGCGGATTGTAGGTGAAAGCGCTCTGTTTTAGCAATGTCGGTTGTGATTCGCTCGCCGCCCCCCCCCTCCCCCCCCCCTAAAGGAAACAAGCTCGACTTTGGAGGAAGAAATGCTAAGTCGGCGGTTCCTGCCAAAGGGCGAGAACAAAGGAACATCTTCCCTTTCGAGGGACCCGTCTCAATTTGGACCCAAAAGGAATCTCCCGCGTTTCTTGCTGGTTCTAGTCTTCTGTTTCCTTAAAGGGAATCTTTTCCGGTTCATTCCCGACTGGGCAATTCCCTACCTATCGCACACAACAAGAGTCTTGGGCTTCTTTTCCAAACAAAATCCGAGACGAACCTGGCGCCAAGCCCAAAGTGACCCCCACCCCCCACACCCCCCCCCCACACCCCCCACACCCCAACCCCCAACCCCCACCCCACCCCCCCACCCCCCACCCCCCCACCCGCCCCCCGCCCCCCCACCTCCATGGCGAGAAGAAGGCGGCAGGAGGGCGGGTGCCCCAAGCCGCCGCCCCGCTCTTTGGCCCCTAGCCAGGAGCCCCAGGTCGAGGCCGCCGAGTCTTTTTCGCCAGTCCGAAGACGTATCCTTTGGGGCGCGGAGAATCCTCCCGTTTTGGTGGCCCTAAAAAAGGAACAGGAGCGATTTTAGGTGAGGTAAAATCCAGGCTGTACGCACGGGCCCCATGTCGCCCCGCTAAAAGTTGTATGCACTTTGAAGTATGAATCGTGTGATACAATGATAACCCAAAAGACAAGGGTCAAATCACTCCGAACGGGTCCCACAAGGCCACGACCAATCTCAGCCTCCAAAGATCCCGAGCATGCGACAACTTAGCACTCAAAAAATATGAGAAAAAAACAGAAATAGATTCGCAGCGGGATGATCGACTCCGGCCTTTCCGATCGGTGCTTTCAAGGCACCCATCGGAAAGTCAAGGCACCTCCACTATGCCGCCGGGAGATCCGCCCCCCCCGACCCTCCCGACCCCCCCAACCCCGCGGGCGGCAAGCAGCCCGCATGCGCAAGCTCCGTTTTCATTGGCACCTCGCGAGCTCCTGCCATCTCAGGAATCCGAGCTGTCCTTGGCAAAAAAATTGGCGAGCACGCCCCAATTGCCAGAGATTTGCCCCAAATGCGTCGGAGTCCCACACCAGAAAACCACAAAAAACATGCGCTGGCCGCTTGCCTCTCAAAATCGGGGGTGGGCTGAACCAAAACCAGGCACTTCGTTCCAACTTTGGGCTACCTTGGGCCACCTTCTCCAACTTTGAGCCCTCCAACAAAAACATCGCCATCTGAGCCGCCCCCGGCTCGCGAGCGTCTGAGCTCGCTGCAGAGGAGGAGGACCTGCGCAAGTTCCAAAGCGCCCCAAAATCGGAGGAGGGACCCCAAAAACTCAAAAAGACAGCCACATTCCATCCGGCACACGGTTTTGGACTGGGAGGTATCAGCACATCTTTATTCACTCATGGATCTTGTCGTGGAGATGTGAACAAAGGTCTCTAGTTTAGAAGTCAGCCAGCCAGTCAGCTAGCACGCTGACTGGCAGAATCCTTGGAACCGGGAAAACAGTACAAGGAAACTGTTCCACACTCGGTATGGGCTTGCAAGCAACTTTTGTCTTTTGCAGCCCCCTGCCAGAAATGAACAGAGGGGGAAAAAACAAAAGGCTTGGCAACAACAGTCGAACAAATACCAAGAGAAACCTCCCAGAGAGGTTCTGATCATCTCTTCCCCCCTTTTCTTGGTTGACGTTGGAAGGGGAGCAAAAACACATATATTTGTTGCAGTTCAGTGGTTGTATGTCAACCTCTAAACCACAATAAGGAAGCATGTAAAGGCTTCCCAACAACAAACCATGACATGTCCAATGATGTTTGATGGAGATGCTGGGGGAACTTCCTATTTTGAGACTTTTGTCGCTGCGCTCCGACAAACCCCACCAACCCCCCCTAGGCGCGCGTCCGCCTCAAAGAAAACGAGAGCTGGTGTCTTCCGCTGGCCCAAGACGAAACCAAGCCCATTCCAACTGCCTCTTCCGCTTCCGCACCGCGGACACCGCCGCCTGCGGTTCAGCGCTTGAGGCACCCGGCTCAACTAGGTCCTCCAGAGCGGTTTCTGGTCCTCCAGTAGAGAGGTTGGAATAAGGGTACCAACTTTTTGCTGCAATCTATGTTAGTAGGGGACCCCTCCCCCCAACAAAGAAACGGTAAAAGGGTACTACTGGGGGACCTAGTCAAACAAATGGCTGCAGGTCGTTTTGGGAGTGCCGGTTCCCCCGTTTTGTGGAAGACAAAAGGAAGACCTTTAGGGGAAACCGAAACCCGAGCTTTCTGTCTACACACCCACGTTTGGCTGCGCGTTCTGGAGGTACAGATGCCCGAATGGCTGCGAGGAAGCCCGCCAAAGGAATATGAGGCATACCCCGACCAAGACACTTGGCTGGAAGTCGCGGACCCCAGCAAAAATATCTTGTTTGCCTGGTCAGTGGAAAACAAAGGGGACCCAAACAAAAAACAAAAAAATAAGAAAGGGGAACTAATTCTGGGGAAGGACATACAGTTAGAACGCCTTTCGGAGATTTCAGCGGGGACATCGGGCCACAACTCAAGCTTCACGTAGGGACTTGCAGGTAAACAAAAGCTCGAGGTACCTTAAGAACAACGGGCTTCACCCAGATTTATCCCTGAATCCGCAAGGCGCTTGGAATTGTAGTGATGAAACAAAGAAAAACACAAGGGGGCCAAAATGACAAATCCTCTGCAACCAGCGCGCTTTGTGCCAGAGACCATTGCGAGTCTATGACATAGGACCAGCAAAACAAAAGTTGATCTCAGAGCTGAACTGAAACGGGTGGGGGTTGGTCAAAAGTCCGTGATACATGGGATGATGTCCCATGTAGGACAAGTTACCCAAGGTCTGGCCGGGGCGCCCCTAGATGGAAATTTGATCAACCACCCCTGGTCTTGCTTGCGACTCTCAAGCTGGTGTCCGTCTGCGCTACTTCAGACTGCCGATTTGTAGCGCGACTTGGGGCGTTGACTCAGCAAGCTGCCTACTTTGCCCTGGAGCGCTCAGTTTGTAGCTCACAGACGTGCGCTCGGCTGCGAGAGAGAGAAAGAGAGCGAGAGGCCAAGGGCACCCTGACAACCACGAGGCTAAAGGTTGGACCGCCCAAGATGGCGCTTCACGGTGTTCCTTCTGGTTTCACTAAAACCACCTATAAGGGGGAACCAACTCAAAACAGGAGGTTCTGAGTTCACAGACCACAGGTGCCCTCCCCCCCCAAACCAAAAAGACGAAACCGGATGCCTCAGCCTGCTCTGCGGACCTCAGAGCTACCTGCGGCCACTCAGCTTCCGATGTTCCCCAAGATTGGAATTGGACCCATCCCCTCACTTCCAATCGACTGGATTGGGCAAAACAAGTCAGCAAGCGTGTGGCTGACCACCAAAACATTCCAAACCCAAAAAGTGACAAAAGTCCGGGGGTGGTGGTGGTGAGACGCGGGCAAATCCAATTATGACCCAAGGGTTGTTGACTTGCAAAGTCCAATCCACTCGCTTCCTGGCCACCAAACCACCGCCCACCAAGTACACAAAGCCCCAGGGAATTCGGTCCGTGAGTCCAAAGGTCCGCAAAGCTCAAAATGTTTTGTTGCAACCACGTCCCTCGGAGGCTTCAGCTTCTTAAATCACATGCCAGGGTTTACCCAAAATGGGGAAAAGCAACCGCCACCCTGGCTCAGCCGATCTTAGATCAACCACGTCATCTTGTTTCCTCCGTCTCTGGAATGGCCATGCTTTCAATGGCCAAACTGTGCCTAAGGATCCCTTCCAAGGGGTAGAGGAATCTTCTTTTGCTGGACTCCCTTTGTTGGGCTTCCTTCAAGTTCCTTTTGTTGCAGCAGATTGCAGCGGAGTACCTTCCGAAATCCAAAACGCAGCGGCTTTCAAACGAGGGGCACCAGGTGGAGCAGGTGCAATAAAGGCTGGGCGTGGGCTCTAAACTTCAATCTGTGCACCAAACCCGTGATGTCGACCACCAACACCAAAGGTGGACCTGCTCGCTTTCAGAGCCCAGGTGGTTAGCACTCAGTCCGGACTGGAAAAAATTGAATCGAATTGCTTGGCACCTTTTCGGGCGCCATAGTGGTTTCGTAACTGGGCTGTCCTCAGCGCCCCTGCCCAAAAGACTTTAACTTTTGGTGGAAAAATAACGAAACCCCCCACGAAACCAACACAATTCACCTAAGGAACCGGAGGCTTTGCTGGGAGCTGCCAGCAAAAACAAAAAACCAACTCGGAACATGGAATATGTGGGTGGACCCCCCAAGGAACTGGGTCGAGAAGCTTGGAATGGGCGGCTGCTCAGGTCTGTGGGGAACCTTGGGTGTCCTTTTGGAAGAAAAGGGGTTTCCTTTCGCAAAAAGTGGTCTGTGGTTTACCTTTTGAATTGTCCTTTGTATCCACCAAACAAAGGGGTATCTTCACAAACAGACACGCGCACATGGATGCTCCACCACAGTGTCTCTCAGTTGATTTCCTCTGTGGGAGTGGATACGATTGATTTGTTCTTCATCACTCCTTCGGTACTTTGCCCGGGGACGTCAAAGACATCAAGCCGGGGTGAGGGGGGCTGAAGCAGGCAGGTCGTGTGGAACCCATCTATGCACGCTGACCCTTACAACCCCTATGCCTGCACTCATTACTATAATTCACCCACCAAAACAAGAGACATTTCAAGACACTTCGTGGGGGCCGAAGCTCAAACTACAAGCCCAAATGAGCTCTCCCTAATCTTGGTTCCGCGTTGGCTTCTCTTTGGCGTTTCAACAGGTCTCCGGACGTTCTGGGCAAGTTGTCTTTCATTGACTGGGCTGTTCCCCTTCAATCCCCGGCTAAAGGCTCGACTCCTCGCGGTCTAGTGGAGACTACGAAACCAACTAGAAACCTAAAAGCCGGAACCGGCTGGCGAACACACCCCAGAGGTCTACGGGCTGATTCCTTTTCCATTCTTTTCAACCATCGATCTTTTCAACCACCAGATCCGTTTTCCCTGGCTTTCGGAGGTGTTCTAAGATCCGGATCCCTGGAAAGAATGGAAATGGAAGCCCTCAGAGGACGGGAATCCACGAGCTTGCGCTTGGCTCAAAGGAGCGCCAACCGCCCAGAAAGCAGCGGAAGGGGCGCTGGGAGTCGCCTGAAATCTGGTCTCAAAATAGGGGACGCCCAAAAAAAAACCGGCGGTGCTCCTGTGAGTTCGCCTTCAAAACTACTAAAAACCAGGTACCCCCAAAAAAAGTGTAGACCCTTGTGGGTTTCGGGCGCTTGCAGACTTGGAGACAAAAATCCACCAACCTTCCCCCGCGCCCCAGACGGTGCCTGGGCGGATTGCTCGTAGGCCTCGCTCAGCTGCGCGCGCAAGCGCTCCGTCCGGGCAACCTGAAGCCGAGCAGAGATCCGACACGTCAGGCCCTTCCGCTGGGTCCTCCAGTGGAGAGGTTAGAACCATATTTTCTTTAGTCTATTCTAGTAGGGGAACCCTCCCCCAAAAAAGGGTAAAAGGGCACTACTGGGGGACCTAGGTTGTGTAGGGGCTTTGAAAAACACTCCAATCCCCACCCTCCTCCTTTCTCAAAGGCAATTTCCAGCACAGTCCACACACACGAGGTCCTTATTTGGGGGGCAGCGGGTGTGCGGCGGTGTGTTTTGGTGGCCTTTGGCTTGGCTCGGTAACGCTTGGCGGCGTCTGAGCGGTTTGCGTTGTTGTAATTCATGCCCAAGTGGAGCCCCAGCGGTGTCCCGTGCCCAAGTTTGGTTGCGTCCTGCTGGTTTGGCTGTGACCGAGAGTCTTGGATATTGACTTGGTTGCGTCTTGCTGGCGGTTGCGTGGCGTTCCGGCCGCCCCCGATACTGTCATGGCGGTATCTTGGTGCGGTGGTCCAGGCAGGTGCCGGAGTGTTTTTGCTTGCGTGGCAATCACAAAGCACAGCGCTCAGCACCGAGTCATTAAAAACAATGCGCCAACAGGACAAACCCGAGCGCCCGGCTGCGCAAGCAGCGATCACTCATGTGGCTGGTCAAAAATAGGTACCTTAAATGGAGCCCAGGTAAATGGAACCAAGGACTTAAAACCTGCGGTCCAAGTCCTGGTCTAATTTTGACCCGTGCCCATGTCAGCGCTTGGCATGCAACGCCCTTGCCAAACCGTAAGCCTCCCAGGCATCAACCGAGAGCGGCGTGGGGACCCATGCCAGTCAGCTTCCGACTGGCAATCCTTCCAGAGCCGTTGGCTTGGCGCCCAAGACAGGCAAACAAAAAAGGGCCCAGCAGATCTGAGGGAGTCAACAATTATGACTGCATGCCCAGAGAGTGTGCAAATGTTAAACACAACGACTGAGGACAGTTTGAAGGTTGCGGTTGTTTGTTTGAGTCAACAGTTGAGATCTTGACAAAAAAAGCATGAGGACTCTTTCGCGTGAGCAAAAGCGTTTGCAGCAAAGCTTGGTGCTGAGCATTTGATATTTTCCCCCTTTGAGTGGCTTCAAGCCCCTGGCTCCACTGGCAGTTCCCATCCCAAACATCAGGACTCTCATTGAGGTTTCGTAGCCAATGGCGGGTGCCTCTCTCTTGAAAGGGGACACCCACGGAACCGTTGTGTGCATAGGTGCCAGGATTGGAAAATTGACGGCCCTGGATGATCGAACCAGGAAAACCAGTCATGTTTCAACCAAACCGACCACCTATGCTTCCATTTGCAAAAGTCCACTGGAAAAAACAAAAAATGTTGTCCAGTAGTGAAATCAATTCCACTTTCAAACCCAACAGCCTTAAAGAAAAATAATAATAATAATAAGCACATGCAAGTCTGCTTTGGTGTGTTTGACCTGTGGCTCCTCCCCTTCCACCGCCCCCCAACGGCGCAAGCCGTCGGCTCCGTGCTTCTCCAAGGGGCCGTCTCCGGGTCCTCAGAGGACTCCTCCGCAGCGGCAGCGGCCTCTGCCTGGAGAGAACCCTTCAGCTAACCCCGAGTCGACCCAAAAAAAAGTGTTGGCGCTGAAAGGTGTTTTTTTTGTCTGGGGATATGGGTCCCCCCAAGTGAAGGGGAGAATCTCTGTCTCACCAACTTGTTTTGGCGCTGATACCCCACGGGGAAACGACTGCGGTACTTCAGCTAACCCTGAGTCGACCAAATAAAAATGGGCGCTGAAAGGGTGGAAGGAGGACCCTCCACTGGGAAGACAGGTTCAGCTCCCCGAGACGACCAAAAAAAAGAAGGGCGCTGAAGCACAGCCGGGAAAATGGGAAGGATAAAAATGGGCGCCGAAAGGTTCCCCTGAAAAAATGGGTGGAATGCGGACTCGAGCCCCTCTGCCTGGAAAAAGGGACCCCTTCAGCTCCCCGAGTCGACCCAACACTGGGCGGGGAAATGGGTCCCCCCAAGGAGAGGGGAAAACCTCTCGGTCTCCAATTGAATATTCTCTCTGCTCCACATGGTTGTGCTGTTATTCAAGAGAAGATCTCTGTCAGCTCCAATTGAAGGGGAAATTGCTGCTCCACATGTTTCTCCGTGTTTAGAGTTTTTCAAGCCAAGTGTCAATTGGCACGGAAAGGACCCCCCATACTTTTCACCTTCCCACTAATTGGTGCTTTGGAGTGGTGGCTTGGATTCAGATTTGAACGTCCAACCACCAAACCAAACCACCCATTCGGGGTAAGGTGACTATTGGCGGGGGTTCAAACCACCACCAATGAAGGGTAACCTGAGTACTCACTCTGTGGGTTTGAAGGGAGACCACCCCTCAGCAAAAAACACACACACACACACACACACACACACACACACACACACACACACACACACACACACACACACACACACACACACACACACACACACACACACACACACACACACACACACACACACACACACACACACACACACACACACACACACACACACACACACACACACACACACACACACACACACACACACACACACACACACACACACACACACACGCTCCAAAAAGCAAAACATGCACAAACAAGGAAGCACATCACCCCCCACACCCACGAAAGCGGACAATGTCCGGAAACCCGCTGAGCCAACTCCACACTCCGCCTCTGCAGCCTCCAGCTCCGCCTCCACCTCCGCGATGCGCTGCGACGCCTCACGGCAGGCGAAGGAGGGCGGAGCCCAGAAGAACACCACAAAAACCGAGGACAAACCCGACGGAAGCAACACATCTGAGGGTACCTTCCATTTCCATTTCCAGGGATCCGGATCTTTCCAGAAAACCTCCGGTTTTTACCCAGGGAAACCGGATCTGGTTCTTGAAAAGAACGATGGTTGAACAGACTGGGGAATCAGCCCCTGGAACACAGGGCTCCCTTTCTTGTCCCCTCAAAACACCACTGCCAAGGGAAACTCACCTTCCATGGGCAAACAAGGTGATTAAGACTGCAAAAACACGGAAATATAGGGACCCCTGCAACGCGGCAAAAAACACACACACGTTGAACAGGAGAGCCCATCCAGACCACCGAAGGGTGAGAAAGAGACCAAGGCTCCTCCGAACAAAGGGTTAGGCCACAACAGTGGTTTTTCGGGCTGAACGCTTTCGGTAAAATGGATGGGTGCCTTCGGTTTTCTGGGCAATACAACCCATCCAAACCAGACGGCCACCCATCAATGTCTGTCCCCAAACGAAGCGAGAAGGACGCCCCCCGGGCCGACTTCTCGCTTAACGGTCCACGCCTCGGCTTCCTCCTCCTTCGCGCGGCTGGTCACCATCTCGGCCTCGAAAAAAACTCGCAAGAAAACGCCCGCGCTCAGAAAAACCTGTGTGTGCCACTCGCGCAAAAGCCACTTGGAGATTTCGCTCTCTTGCTTTTGTTTGTGGTGCAAGTCCTTCAAAAACACAAAGGAGAAGTGTTTTGGTGCGCATGCGTCTTCCTCAAAAACAAAGAAGACGAAGAAGAAGAAGAAGAAGAAGAAGAAGAGGTCGAAAGCACTTCTTTTATTCCACCTTCCCCGAAACAAGTGAAACAGCCCGCCGTTTGCAACTTAACATGTCCTCAAAAAAAAAGGAAGCTCGCTTCTTGAAGCCAAAAAAAGGCGAGCCCAGAGGGCCCCTGGTCGGCCCTTCGTGCGGCTTCCAGCCGGCGCTTCGGCATCGCGCCGCGCCGGATCGCCTGCTTGGCGGCCTCCTCGATCTTCGCGAGGGTCTGGGCCGCGAAGCCCGGGCGGTTGGAACCCCATGGGTAGCAAAAGAATGGGGAATTTCGGAATGTCTGGTGCATGGAAAGAAAGGGCTGCCAAAAAAAAAGCCCCGAAATGGGGAAATTCTGGTAAATGGACAGAAAGGCCAAGGGTTGGTTCAGGATCCCCAACAAATCCACATAGACATTAACGGGAACGTTGGACGGAGCCCTTGGCGCTTGGCCAGCGACAACCCCCCCCCCTTTTTTTAGCTTCCCCTGTTTGGCGGTTTTGATTTTTTGGATAAACCATGGTGGTTGTACGAACCCAACAATTCAACTGAACCGGGGCTCTCAAAATAGGAATCAAATAGGAACCGGACCCCTTTCGGATGGCAAAAAAAGGAAACCAAAAGGAAACCACCCGCCTGGAGGGGTCGGTCCACCGAATTTTGAGAAACACCCAAGTTGGTGACACACAACGATGCTTCACGAAGGATGTGGGAATCCAGCCAAGCCAATGAGCCTATGGTCCTCTGAGTCTTGACAAGCAACGTGGAACCAAGCGGAGTAGTCACAATGCATGGGGTTCTGGTTGATACCTTAGCTGGGCTGATCTGCCAAAAGTGAAGACCTTCAGGGTGAAATATGGAAGCCCGAAGAACTAACAAGTAAAAGCTGCAGGAATCGGACGATTCGCTGTGAACCACCAAGTTAAGATCAACTGAAGTCATGATAGGAGCCAAGTGTTCAGGTGCGCCGCTCAGGTTGCGCTTGCCTTGGCTGCTTTCTTCTCAGCCTTCATCGCCTTCTTCTCGCGCTTCTTGTCCTGCCGGCCGGGCTCATGGCGGAAAGGGGTTTCTCTTCCCAGGTTCGGCGCGGCCTGGGTTCTGGCGGGGCGCCGACCCAGAAAAGCCGCAGAAGGTTCACCGTTCGAAGAAACCATCGTTTGGGGTGGTTTTGAGCTGGGCTTGGGGGTTTTCGGTTGGTTTAGGTTGGCCAGGTTCAGGGTTGGTTTGGTGCTGGTTGAGGGCGGGCTTGGGGTTTAGGGTTGGCTTCGGGCGGCTCCGGGTAGCTTCGGGCTGGTTTAGTAGGGTTGGTTCAGGGTTGGAATCGGGCAGTTTAGGCGTTGCTTGGTCACCCATATTCCAACCACGAATTGAGAGGCGTTCAAGCTTTGTCACGAGAGGTGAACTTCCCTAATCCAACTCTTGGTTGGCCCAGGACGTTACTAAGCAGCCTGCGATGAGCGCATCTTTGCCTCCTTGGCTACACAATGGCAACGGGTTTTGGGCGCTTTGGGCAAAAGGCAGCGAGATGTGGCGGGGCGGTCAGTTCCTGGAATTGATGGACTTTTCAAATCAGTGTGTCTCAAAAACAAGGGGAGCAGTCTAAAAAGAACCAACATGAAACTGCCAAAACTCCCCCCGAACCCGCCCACCCAAAAGTAATTTTGAGCGCCTCGCGAGCTGCAACCACTGCGTCCGAAGTTCTCAAAAAAATGTCACATTCTGTTTCACATTCCGCCTACCCCAAAACATACATCCATGCTAATCGATCAAATCAACTGGGTTATTGCGCCGCGCTTGGAATCTCACAAAATGGGAGCAAGCAATCTTCGTTGCCAATGATCTCTTTGCTCGCTGTGTTGGACTGCCGCGTGCGCCTTGACGCCGGCGTCGCCGAAGTGCGCGGGAAGCCACTTTGGAAAGTCGTGTTTCGCGGACACCACGTTCTAGAAAGGCCAGGCCGACTGTTCTCTGCGAAACGCGTAGTCCACCTTGGGCTTGACGCGCAACAAGAGCTTTCTCTCTTTGGGCGAGTTTGTCGGGCGAAGGAGAATCCGCTCGTGCTTGCACAGAGGGCCAATCGCGAGGCCGTTGCCCGGCCTGACAGACAAGTGGCGACTCAGACGGAGCTCGAACATTTGTCAGGCCCACCTTGAGACGCTCTTGCTGCGAAAAGCCTAAGTCAAACAATTTCAAAGAAAATGTTCGCCTCAGGTGGCCGAAGCCTCTGCCATGACAAAGTCGGCGAGCGCGGCCGCCAGAAATCCTGATCGAACTGCCGACAACTGCAGGCTGTGAAACAAATCTTTCCGTCCGCCTGCTCTCCGACATCCTGAAAGTCACAAAGAGTCGCTGAAGCGCAAACTTAGGCTTTGATCCTGAGCAAGACGTCGCAGACGGTGCGCTGAGAAGACTCGCAGCTGCGGCAAGACACGGACGTCATTGGCGCGCCAAGCTTTTGCGAACTTTGTCACTTTGCGCATTTTCTCTCTCTTCGTTCTTTCGCTATTCGCTTGCGGCAGCTCGTCGCGCTTTAGCGCCGCCAAATTCGCTTCAAAGCAGCGCTGCATCTGGGGCATTTTCTTATGCGCCTGTCGGGCTTCGCGCACCAACGGATCTACGAGAAGAGTGTTGGTTGGCGTTGCCAACACAACTTGCGCGGCGCAGCCGCCGTCGCTCGCAGAGGTTGGCCGAGCCGCCCCCGCGCACGGTCCCTCGCCCCTGGCTGCCCGCGGCAGCTCCAGTGTCCCGGGCGGCATCCCGTCTTCATAGGCCAGGGACACCTGAGCCGACGACCAAGGCTCAAAAACCCGCAGCTCGGCGTGGCCCGCGAGCAAAATAAACCACTTCGTCCAAGCTCACTGGCCAGCCCCACTTTCAGTAGTCGCCGCACGTTTGATTTAGAACGTGCTCTCCTGGCGTCGCCAAACCATGACAGCCTTGAGCGTCTGTCTTGAACACCTCGCGTCTCTCAAGGTGAAGAAAACGGCGTCGAACTGGGCCACTCTTCATCCGAGACAGAGAAAAACAAATCGCATCTGCAAGACCTTCGCCGGGCGCGACGTGAGCTCTGCGAGTCTGAGCGGAGAGTGGGCGATGAAGAAAAGGCTTGCAACGCATAAGGCAGCGACGGCTCCGAAGTCATGCCACAAAGCGCGCCGAAGCAATTTGTGAACTGCGAACAGCTGCAAACAACTCAACTTGGATAAAACAGCCGTCGCCCTCGCGCCTGGCTGTTTTCCTTTCTTGAGTCTTCGGGTTAGTGTCTTTTCGGCGTCTGTTGTTTTGGTTACTTTCCTCGCTTTCTAGTTTTAGCAGACCTGCATAATCGCAAATGGCCGCACGGATCAAAAACAAAAAGCCCTTCGTGAGTCGGCTTAGTGGCGGTTTAGGATGGGTTTAGGTTGATTTCGGGTGGGTTTGAGGTCGTGCGCTGGTTTACGGTGGGTTTAGGGCTGGTGGTTTAGGGTTGGTTTAGGGTTGCTGGAGGTTCGGGCTGGTTTAGAGTTGGTTTAGGGTTCGGTAGGGTTGGTTAGGGTTGGAAAAGGGTGGGTTTAGGTTTTGTTCAGCGTGCTTCGGGTTTGTTTAGGGTTTGTTTAGGGTTGGTTTAGGCTTGGTTTTGGGCGAGTTTAAGGTTTCTGTAGGGCTTGTTTAGTGCGGGTTTAGCATGGGTTTAGGGTGGGGATTATGTGCGGTTTATGCTGGGTGCAGTGGGAGCTTAGAGTTGGATAAGTTTAGGGACAGTTTAGGGCTGGTGTATGGGTTTAGGGTGGCTGGTTTGGGGCGGATTTGGGGGGGTTATTGGCTCAGGGATGCTTGAGTGCTTGCTTACTGTGGGTTTAGGATTGGTTTCGGGTGGGTGTACGTTGGTTTAGGAGGGGTTGCTTAGGGCATGCTTAGGGATGTTTTTTGTGGTTTAGGATGCTGGTTCAGGGTGGGTTGCAAACACTATCCTGACAGTGGTGCTAGTTTAGGAAGTGCCCAAAGCCACAAAAGCACTCAAAGCCGCGAAAGCCAAAAAACACCCACCCACCCACCGACTGACCGACACCGGGGATCCTTCCACCCAAACCCAGGAAGGAAAGAAGGCACAACAATCTCATAAAACTCGGATTGGGGATGACTTTTATTTGGGGACTTTGGTGGACGTCATTTTGGTGGGGGGTCACGTCCACCAACCACTTCTGAGGTGGTGTTCTACAGAAATTCATGGCCAGTGGTTTTGAAAACCAACCCTGACACATCACTGCTCCTGGACATCTTACAAGCCAACAGAGGTTGCAGAAGGACTGGAGTTGGATCCAGAAAGCCGATCGTAGCGGTCCCCAGTTCGGTCAAGGGGAACTCGCCGACGAAAACCCCTGCATGATGTTGGGGTCTCTTCATGCATGGTCATGCTCAGGCAAAGGCTCTGGGGCGGGGACCCGAACACAAAGAAGTGTCATGATCCGCTGGCCTACCACACAAACCCCACTAACCCCCCCAGCACGTCCACCTCAAAGAAAACGAGAGCTGGTGTCTCTGGTAAACATGTGCCAACAATACAAATGGACCTACACATATTAGAGAAGGCAAACGAGTCTGTAGGTGAGTTCGAAAACAAATGTCAGAACCAGTGCCCACCTTTAATTGTGCATGACTGCATGCTCCTTCTTCAGCTGTTTCTTCTGCTTCTTGCTCAGCTCCTGCGGTGAGCAAACGGCAACTTGTAGATCCTCCAAACAGCATTGATCTCCAGCCCATGTTCAGGTTGGCTCTATTCAAGACACACTCAAACTCATGCATGTTTGCACCACTTTTTTGTTGGTTTGGTTACTGCATTGTGCTTGTGTTTGACGTTGCAAAGCCGCATATCAACAAACATTGGACATTCTCATGAGGCTAGAGCTGAAAGGAATTGAACCCTCAACCTCTACCTCCCCTACACGGAGGGTAGCGCGCTACCATTGCGCCACAGCTCTATCCTTCACATGTGGAAGCGCTCATCAGGTGATGATGCAAAACCCCTACCCCAACCAAACTCGCCCACGAAGACTTTTTGTCTGGCTCAAGGTGGGTCAATTCCCCCTTCATGGAACAAAGCCCACACCCAATGTCTGTCGACAAGTGTGCGTCTGACAGCTATTGGTGAGAGACATGTGAAACCTGGCATCTAAATCAGTCCCATCTAAACCGGCGCCACCTCTGCCAAGCCTTGGTCGGCGTTGGAAGTGGAGCAAAATTTTGAATTTTAGCAGCTAAGTGGTTGGATTTCCACCACTAACCCACATTAAGCAAAAGTGTAAAAACAAAGTTTCCGACAACCACCATGACATGTCCAATGATGTTTGATGGAGATGCTGGGGGAACTTCCTATTTCTGAGACAACAACCATGAAGCCATGCCAAGCCACGGCCATGGCAGTCCTTCGGCGGCGCCTCCGCTCTGGCCGGCGCGTCCTCCAGGCGCTGCAGCTCAGGGGCGGCCACGCGGGACCAGTCCTGGAAGTGAGAAGCCCCCCAAAGGCTCTCTGAAGGGGAAAAACCGCCAGAGGTGGGGATTTATGTTGATGACTCCGTTAGACATAATCAAAACCTGGTACAAAAATGGTGAACCCAGAGCCATGTAACGAAATGAAAAGGCGGCCGCAACCATTTGTGGCAAATACCGGGGTTTTATTCTGACCCAAAGGCTCTCGGAAACCTGAGACCATGCACAACTATGCTTCTTGAAACCTGCTTCACTGCTGTTTGGGTTGCCTGGGCAGGGAATAAGGACATGACCAGGAACATTCACCATCCAACTTGTGGTGTGCTAGGGATCCCTAAAACAAATCACATGCAAAACCATTCCCTAATTACTGAGAACCAGCAAGAAACTGGCGCTGCGCAAAGAAAACTGATCCTTCAAGTGGCGATCCTCAAGATGAAATCCCTCTTGGTTTGAAGGATGGGAAGCCACCATGGAACAATCTTAGAGGAACCCAAATCCAAGCAGCTGGAGGTTGGTCAAAAGCTCTGATGAACATGGCATGACCATTGGTTGGGAATCCACTGAGAAAAGAAAAACATCCACGACATGGGTTGAAACGTGACCCCATGGTCAGGGCCTTTGCGCCCCACGGAGATTGGTTTTTCTCAACCCCCGGCTCACTTCAGGAGAGCTTTCGGAGGCCGCCAGGCCCGGCCGGACTCCTTCAGCTCCGAATGAACTGAACTCCGAATCCAACCATCCGAATCCGAATCCAGGGTTGCTTGACTCTGGAGCGTTCCTGGCAACTGCCAAACAACATGCTGATCTGGATGATGTGGAGAGAAAGACACGGCCTCCTCGCAGAAATAACACCAGAAACAACTGGCAATCCAACCAACCACACCAACACCACCAACCAAACCAACCAACCCGAACACCACCAACCAAACCAACCAAACCAACCAAACCCCACCAACACCACCAACACCACCAGCACCACCAATCAAACCAAACGAACCCAACAAACCAAGCCAAACCCATCAAACCAACAAAAACCAGAAAACCAACCCAAACCAAACCAACCCAACCAAACCAAACCAACCCAACCAAACCAAACCAACCCAACAAACCAAACCCCACCAACACCACCAACACCACCAGCACCACCAATCAAACCAAACGAACCCAACAAACCAAGCCAAACCCACCAAACCAACAAAAACCAGAAAACCAACCCAAACCAAACCAACCCAACCAAACCAACCCAACCAAACCAAACCAACCCAACAAACCAAACCAAACCCACCAAACCAACAAAAACCAGCCAAACCAACCAACCCAACAAACCAAACCAAGCCCACCAAACCAACAAAAACCAGCCAAACCAACCCAAACCAAACCAACCCAACCAAACCAAACCAACCCAACCAAACCAAACCAACCCAACAAACCAAACCAAACCCACCAAACCAACAAAAACCAGCCAAACCAACCAACCCAACAAACCAAACCAAGCCCGCCAAACCAACAAAAACCAGCCAAACCAAACCAAACCAACCCAACCAAACCAAACAAAACCAGCCAAACCAGACCAAACAACCAACCAAACCAAACCAACGAAAACCAAACCCCGCAAGACCGCGCCTCCAGCTCCTGCGCGACAGCATTCGCCAGCTGGACCTCGGGTAAGTCCATCGAACTGAGAAGGCTCCCTCAACTGCGGCTTGTGGACGATAAATGGCTGTGGGCCAAAACCAAGGGTAGGTAAGTTCGCCACCCATTCTAGAAGCTATTTTAGGAGGGGATTGGGATGCTCCGTAAATGGAGTCATCAACATACATCCCCACCTAAACTTGCGGAGTCTCAGCAGGGAATGAAACCCCGAAATAAACCATCGTTCTTTTTCAGGCTCATTCCCACATTCCCTGCCTATCGCACCAGCAAGAGAAGGAAACATTGAACAAAACAAACAGCTTCTGCTTCCCTTTAATTGGTGGTTTGGTGGACGTGTTTCAGGGCACCTTCGCACACCAAGTAAGGGTAATCTGACAGCTGGTTCAGGTTAGTTAAGAAAAGCTGGCCTCGAGTTTGGAGCCATGTCCATGAGAAGTGGCTGGTCTTTGACCTCCCTTTGCTTGTCGAGGCACAAGTGTTCTCCTTCGGAAAGGTACATCCTTTAACTAAGGGGGGTCTCTGTAAGGCAGGGCCTCTCTAAACAAAAATAAATAAGACTAATAATAATAATACTAATAATAATAATACTAATAATAATAATACTAATGATAATAATAATAATAATAACTAATATTTATAATAATAATAATATAAATTAATAATTAATAATAATAAATAATATTAATAATAATATATATTTAAAAAAAGAATGAAAAGGTGGACAAGCCAGTCTCTTCACATGTGGCGGTGACCTATGCCAAGTCCATCGGGTAGCGAAACCTTTCCGCTTGGCCCACACAACTTGAAGCATCGGAAAATTCCCTTGGCATCAGGTTCAACAACCAAATTGGGCTGTGATAAAAACCACCGATCCAATGGGTTGCTGTAAAAAATGTCAGGTTGCTGTAAAAATTAGGTTGATTTTAACATAAAACCCCAAGGAATGTAGGTTGCGGAAAAAACAAAAAACAAAAAACGGCGCAATGCTGATGTTAGGATAAAACCCCAACGAATGTCGCCCAAAACCGATCCCATCCGCAACCATTCAGCCCTTGGCTTTCAGAAGACGCCAGTTCATTGGAAGCTGCCCCAGTGCAGCAGGAAAGCCAGAAAGAACAAAGAAATGCAAAGAGAACAAAGCAGAAGGAAGACTAAACACATGGGGAGGTCGTTTTATAGAGCAAATAGTGGAACCCACCCATTTTTGAGGGTACCTCAAAACGAGTCACAATCCCACATAAACCTAAAGGTTGATCAAAAAGTCCCATGGCCCACGAACATGGGACCGTTGGCTTCGCCACCGGAAAGATGGTGTGACCTGGGAAAAGTGAGCCATGGTCAAAACTGAAGGGCCAACCGATTGATCCACCTATTGATCAAGACCTGACAGAATGCCCAGAAGCATGGAAAGAAAGAAAAAGAAAGGCGGAAACCACCCGTAAACGGTTGTCACTTGCCCGGGTGTTGATTTCGGCTCATAAGATGTGTGTAGATGGATAAGTATGTACATAGCAAGTGGCTTTATATATATATAGATATATATGGGGGTTGATCAATATGCCTGACCCCCGAATGACCGTGGGTATCTTTTCCCATTTAGTAATTCAAATCTCATCTTTTTGCTTGTTTTCCAACCAATGGTCATCCCATGTATCAGGGAACCTTTCGATCAACCCTCTAGAAACATCTTTATGACAACTGAGTCGCTGGCCCCCTTCAAGGACTGACTGTAGACACGCTGCAGCGACCTGGCAGCAAGCCCTCCAAGCCATGGCAGTTCAAACCCAGAGGTTCCCAATGAAAAGACGTCAACCGGCACAAGCGGCGTTCAAATGGCCACCGAAAGTCCGTCTCGCTTTTGAGATCCTAGACTAAACCGCCGGGAAATGGAGTTCGCTTCGGGAAATCCACTGGGTATCTGCATCTACCTCGCTAACTCACAGAGCACCGTTCCAACTGCCTCAGTGCCTCGAACTTGGAAAACTGCTCCGCGCTCTTTGCTGAAGAAGTTCCCACCATGTCCCACAACCTCTTTTCTTCTCAACAGACAAAACTCAAGAGAAGTATGTCCCGCTAAATCCCCGGAAGAGACATCATGACATTCCGGCACAGCTCGTCACGGTTACCAGGCCCATCCCCACGACTTCACTGAAAAGAGGGGCTTCCCTTGTCGCAGAAAATTGTATCCTGCCAAGGGGGTTTCCCACAGCCCCCACCACCATGGGGTGTCTCTGACTTCAGTCACGCGAGGGAACTTCTGCCAAAACCAAAAATCACTGGATTCCAGATCAAAAGTTGATCAATCTACTGGTGGCGTCCATTGAAACTGCCACTTTTTGGAGGTGTCAAGAAGGGAAATGGAGGACACCCCTCGAGAACCCACTGCCCTCGACCTCGGGCTCTCGGCTTTGGCCGCAAACTTCTTCCCAGGGAATGAGGGTTTCCCCCCATGATTTCCCTACGAAAGCGAGAAGGTTCTAACCAGCATCACATTTGGTTCACCAGGTTTGTCCCCAATGTCCCAAGGGTTGACTTGCCACAACGCGTGGCTGACATGTAAAACACAGGGCCAATACAAGAGACCGCCAATCTAATTACACGCATTATTCTCCAACAATCATGATGAAATATGGTTCTTAAAGTACCCCAAGCCCATTCTAAGCATGTTGAGTTTCAACCCTCATAGCATTCGTTATAAAATACCAAGGACATTTTATCACTCGGCTCTCATACCCTTGTAGCATGCTTTACTCTCCTGCAGATTAACCTGGAACCCAAAAAACACCCATCCCTTTGACCAATAGAGCAAATAGACCCATCTGCAGGAGATTAAGGAGAAGCTCGGACTAATAAACCCCTGGCTACTAAATAGAGGGTGTCCCCTTTTAGTGGGGATTCATCACTTTTGAAGGACACACACCAAAAGTATTAACTAGCCAGAGTTTTCTTAATCCGAAGTCAACATGGGTCTGTCTTTTTTTGAGTCGGTACCCCTTTGCTGATGGGTTTAACGAGAAACAAAAAGGAAAACCATTGCGTCATTATTATCTTATCTTTTTTTTTGGTTGGGGTGGGGGTCCAAGCTGAAAGAAGGACAGAAAGTTCCCTTTCCGTGGGATGGCCAGTGGTTGTCAAGCACGTGGATTTCAGTTACCCCATGGTCTCAACCCCCATGAACCAACTACCCTCCCACCGCTTGACATGGAACCTGACAGGGGGTGCTGGAACACAATCTTCCTTCTGCAGGGAAACTCATGTTGATTGGTGATGGGGTACCCACGTTGAACTGGAAGATTCCCTGGATGAAATAATCGGACATTGGGGGTCTCCTTTTGGGTATCCTTTTGGTTTCCTTTTGAAACCACAAAAAAGGGGCACCAGCTCAAAACAAGGACCGACCCGTGGCTCAGAAAATGGTACCCAAGATGGCCCCTCGCAACAGGCTGTGGCTCAGAAAATGGTACCCAAGATGGCCCCTCGATGAATGGAAAAACAAGGACCAAAACCTGCGCAACCCTGACTCTTCAAGTTTGAGCCACGCCCAATTCACTACTGTGGATGGACGAAATCCTGCCCCACCGAAGAAACCCTGGAATGACGATTCCCCCGCACATGCCAACCCACGTGGCTTCCCCTGGTTTCAAAGTGGTGCGAAGTGGACTCCGTCCATGGCCCCCCATCGCTCCTCAGCTGCTCCGCCGCCGTCTTGGCACGGCCCAGCAGCGCCAGGTCCCCCGGGATCGCCCTGGAGCCGCTTTGCTGCGAGAGAGACCAGGTGGGGGTGCTCGTCTCTTTTTTTCAGCAGGCAACCTGGTTTTGGCCTCCAATGAGAAACCAAAAGAAAAGCCGAAGCCAATCGCTTGGTCTTGGGTCTGTGCCTGTTCTTCTTCTTTTTTTTTGCGGGGGGGTCCTCCCAAAAAATAAATAGAGGCTGCCCTTGTGGGGGTTGGTTTAGAAGGAACCCAAAAGGAAAACCACCAGTTTGTGGGGGGGGGGGCTATTCCCATGTGAGACTTTCACCAGCGGCCCACTCAATGTATCTGGATAGAAAAGGTCTACCGTATGAAAGTGAAACATGTGCACCATGTTCCCAATTTTGTCTCGCTCAAAAAAAAACCAGATGGTTGCATGGGTGGCAATTCACAGTTCCGCGGCACCGGATAAAAAACGGAAGGGCGCCCTTGCAAGCAACCGATTGCAGATCGGCCCCCCAGACCCAAAGCTCGCCTCGCCATCTTACCAAGCGTCCATGCGATACACAACTTGCCCGGCCGCAAACCGAGCAAAAAAAGGGAGCAAAGAAAACGCCCTAGGCTTCAGAGCAGGAGAAAAAAGGAGGAAAAAGAAAAGAAAAGAAAACAACGCGCACAAGGAAGGCAACAGCCTGGCTTTGAGAGCCCCAAGCGCTCTTGCGAGATGTCGGCAACCTCTTTTGGGGCCCCCGGGCTTGTACTTGTGAAGGTTCTCAAAGAAGAGCCTCAGTCGCTCGATAGCCATGATCAATGTTCTGCGCGTCTCCCGCGATGGCGCCGGGCTTTGGGGATCCGATCCATTTTTCCCCGATAGCACCTGCCTTTTCCCTACCCCTTTGCTAGAGTGGATGATCTTGAATATTCGACTCCCCAAAGCATGACTTGCAGCATTGCAAACGCGGCCACGCGGTCACCGTCTCCCGATCGCTTCTGGTCGTCCGACTTTGGAACGACCAACTTGCGCTGACGACAAGCCCTCACATCTTGTGAGAGAGCAGCCCTTGCCACTCCAAGCTGCGAAGCTGCAAGGCTTGGATGGATCAAAGGCCATCTCTATGTACATTGTTGTTGGCCCCTCTTCACCAAACCCCACTTTCCACCCAAAAAAGCGGCGTCTTAAAGCTGTATGCTGGTGTCCCTTGGTCAGTAAATGACTTGAACCAACCTGGCACCCATGGAATCCGTCTATTATGTTCAACCAACCTGACCCTTTCAGGACAAACCCGTCTCTATTCTTTAAGCAAACCAAAAAGGACACCAGTGTTCCCCCTTTTTTTCAAAAACTCAGCACAAGTGGCAAGATGTTCCACACCTCCCAAGGGAAGGATTTCGAGTTTTGGCCGATCAACCAACTCTGCGCTGAGGCGCCTTTTCTGAACGGGACACCTAGGCGCATGCCCAGTGTCCTTTTGGTTCCCCTAGCTGGGTTTCCCTACCTGGGCACCAAACCCCCTCCAGACCGGTTCAATCCGAGCCCATCCACCTCTGTCCCAACAAGAAATTTCACCGAGCAAAAGGACACGACTCCCAGAGGCTCCTGGGCCCCTAGGCCTCGAAGCACTGCCAGAAATCGCAGGCCACCGTGTCCTCCACCAGCTCCATTCCCGGCACCTGCAGCCTGAACCTCACGTACAGCTCCCGGCGCTGCGGGCAGCTCACCACCGTGGCCAGGACGTCCTCAGCGAGCCAGCGAGCCCGCGAGGCCCCCCCACAAAAGCCGCCCCTCGGAGGGCGTCCGAAGAAGGCGGGAGGCCCGGGCGTGCCTCGTGGTGGGTTTGGGTGCTTTCTTGAGGCTCTGGAGGGGAAACCCCCCGGATTTTTTTAGATGCCACGGTTCATCCGCACAAAGGTATCCCACGAATCGGTGGGTTGGATGAATTGGTGGTGTGGCTACTCAACAAACACCCAGGGTTCAAGTCCCCAAACCCCCAAACCACCAATCCAAATCACAACCCAGGGGTTACCTGAGTATTCTTTCCCAGTTGGATTGGAGGTGTTCCATCCTGTCAGGACCAAGGCTCTCAGCCCCAAAATCCAAAACGAAGGGCTTGCGCTTAGTGCTTGCCCTGGCCAAAACAGGTCGGTTTAGAGAAACCCCTTCGCTTCCTTCCTTTTTGCAAGCCAGCGGCAGTCACAAAAGAGCATTAAACTCACCAATGACGCGAAGATGGAACCGGTGACCCCAGCTCCAACTAGCCAGGGAACCAGACCTCAGGGCAAAACAAGAAACAGCCATGGGAGAACAACAAAACTCATCCCACCCACCCACCCAACCCCCACCCCCACCCCGCAACAAACACACACACACACACACACACACACACGACCAAGTCGAGACTTCCCCTTCTTGGGGCAGGGTTTCAAGCGCTTGCCGCCATCGCCCCCATCTTTTTGATCCATCGAGCGTCGTCATTCTGCACGGCCCCCGAGAGAAAGGACTGGATCTGCTTGAGCTCCAGGGGCAACTTCCCAGCCACCAGCTCCTCAGCGCGCGAGACTCGAGGCTCGAGACTCGAAGGAAGGGAAGCGCCTTGTCTCAAACCAAAAAAAAAAATGGAAGGGGTAGATTTGGATTCGGATTTGAACCTCTTGCTGCCATCCGCGGTTTGAGTGCCACTAATGGACAATGTTCACATTTATGAGTCGCCAAATCCCTTGAAAGCCAAGTGAGAAAGCGAATCTTCAAAACTAGAATCTCGGCAAATGGAACTTCGGGACAGTTCGAGACCCTTCCATGTCCACTTGTACTAAAAGCACATCCGAAATCGATCTCCAACTTCTTGTGCCGAGGAACACGACGCTTTGAATTAAGTTGGAAAACCCAAACCGCGTCCCGCGGTTTTTTCTCCCCCCGCCCCCCCCCCCCCCGCGACTGCGGGAAAAATCGATCGCCCTCGCCCGGCGTCGTCGGCATAGCGCCCCTCCACCTCCGCCTGGCGCTGCTTGCTCTCCGCCAGGAGCTTGGCAATGCCCGCATGCGACTCATCCTGGGCCGACCACCCCCACCCCCCCAACAATCAATCAGAAAAATGTTTTAAAGGAACCTCCCTTTGAGGTTTGGGTAGCCATGTTTGATTAAAACCACCTTCAAAAAAGAAAACAACGTTCTAAAGGAACCTCCCTTTGGGGTGGCCATTTTTAGAATAAGGGTATCCTTTTTTCTGTAGTCTATTTTAGTACGGGAACCCTCCCCCCGAAACAAGTGGCTGTCACAGCAAAACACACACACACACACAACACAACACAACACAACACAACACAACACAACACAACACAACACAACACAGCACAACACACAACACACACACACACACCACACACACACACACACCACACACACACACACAGTTGACTAATTACGAGGAAAAACGAGGATCTGCGCCTTCCCTTTGGGACCAGCCCTCTTGTGACATGGCCGCAACTCCCTAGATGTAACCAGGAGTCACAGCTGTTTGCTCCCCATAAGCCGGAACAGTCCTTCTCCCCGCTTCTTTGCACCCGAAGCAGAAACAAGTACGATGTCTGCCTGTCTACCTTGTTTCCTCCCTCAGCTCTTGACACCAACCCCACCGGCTTTCCAGCCCGTGTTTGGGGCTCACCCTCAAACCCTGCTTTTTCCGCCCCAAACCTGTCCCTTGACCTGCATGTCTGTTGGCTCAAACCGTTGGCTCGGAACCACCCAAAAAAACTACACATGCTCTTACAGAAATCCGCTCCCCCGCGCTCAGCCCCCCCCCCCCCGCCTGCAGCTCGCTGACGCAGTGGTTGGCGTGGACCAACACCCCCTCCGCGGCCACCGCCGAAATCGACAGCCGGCACCGGGACCACTCCTCAGACGAGGCGCGGGCTGCTCCATTCTCAGCCCTCGGTTGACCCAGAAATCAGAGGTGATCACCTGTTCTGGCCAGAAAAGGAAACCCAAACGGGGACCGAAACGGTGAAAAGGTCGGTTCCCAGCGTTTGCTTCTTGTAAAGTAAATGTACTGTTCTTCCTGTGTGTTTCAAGAATCATTGTGGGATGTTCCAAGAAATGCTTTGAAAAGCTCAGGACACTGGAGGTTCTGTTTTGTATTTTTGCAGCCTTGGGTCATCAACAGAAGGGGGACCCTGGGCGGGGTTCGATTCCGCGTTTCCCTTTGAAGTCCCAAAGAGGGTCATGGAGACCCATTTGATGAACAAACTCCTGGTTTGGGTCTGTGTGGAGGGGTGGGAAGCGGGGTTGGGAGCGGGGGGGGGGGCAACCCATGGTTCTTTCATCATCCGTGTCAACATGAACAGCTCAAACGACTTCCAAACAATGCGCAGCCGGATTTTGGAAAAACTTGTGCTATGTGTGTGTGTGTATCTTAGATTCGGAATTTCATATGCCCCATTGACACAACTTGACCGCAACCAACCCGAGCCCAAGCTGCAAACAACCGGTGATGTTCAATCAAGGGCTCCTCTGCGCAGAACATCCCTCTGCAATGGGCATGAATCTTCATGAGGGACCCGTTGGACACCATTTAGGTGGGGATTTATGTCCGGCAACTTTCCAGGAATTGCCCAACTCTTAAAATTCATGGCCACATGGAATTCCAGCTATGCGTGTTCCGATGGAAGTGACGGTGCTGGCGTTGCATTCCATCAGCTCAGAGCTCATTGGCCCTGCTCTCTTGGAATCGAAATGGAGGAAGTTCCAATTCAAAGTGCCGCCAGAAGTGGCCTTTTGAAAAAATAGATGGCCCTGGCAAATGGGATAAAACCCACCTAAACCAGTGCCATCTATGTTTAGCCAAACTAACCTAAAAAGTGAGGCGACTGTTGACCCCAGATTAACAAACCCATCCTAGTAATAGGGGGGGGCCCCCCCCAAGTGATGAACCCCACTAAACCAGGGGACCCCCTGGCTGCCTCAACCCTCTAGATCGAGGCCGACCTTGGCCTCACCCTTAGGTCCATTCAAGTGCCATCCGCAAAACCCGCAGGGACCCAGCCTCATTGCCCTGTTGCTTCTGGGCTGCGAGCATAACTTCTGGGCGAAATATGGAAACCCAACCACTCAACCTAAAAACCAACTAAAAACTTCAGGAATCGGACGATTCGCTAAGAACCACCCAGTTAAGATCAACCTAAATCATGATTGGAGCAAAATGTTTAGCAACCACTGACCCCCTCAAATGGCTATGGGTCAAAACCCCTACCTCCAGTGAACATCCCAATCCCCACTAAAATAAAGCCTAAAATGGGTGGCGAATCACCACAAAGTTGGATCCCAGTGGTTTTGACCCACGGCCAGATTGCAAAACACTTGGTGCTTGAAATTTCCACTAAACCCTAAAAAGCCAAAAAGCTAAGGGGATGGCTGGGAGCCACCAAGTTAGGTCATGATAGGAGCAAAATGTTTAGTAACTACTAAGCCCCTCAGATTCCAGAAGGGTGTGGCTCAAAATTAAACAGGAGGGGTTACGCAGGTGTTGGTCCATGTTTCCACTTACCAGGGTTCCATTTTGGTACTCCGCCGACCCCTTGCCTGGTCCAGAATGGACCATGCTTTCGGCATGGGGGCGGTGTGTTCTGTGTTGCTTTTGTTGATATGCCTTCTGTAAGTTGAATGTGAATATGATTCTGTATATATATGTCCCTTGGGGCGGCTCTTGGGGCTGGTTTCTACGTCGGCTGGATTTCTGGATTTCTGGATTTCTGGATCTCTGGATTTCTGGATTTCTGGATTTCTGGATTTCTG